TAGATAGACTTCATACTGATGCCGAGGCGAGACGCGTCTATGACGAGTCATTGGAAGCTCGCCAGATTGCCGAGGCCGCTATCGCGGAACGCGATGAGATGAAGGCTCAAGTCGAGCTTGGTGCCGAGGGTTTGGTCAAGAAGCTTCAAAAGCAGATCGATGAACAGACCGGCATTATCGAGCTCCAAGCACGTCAAAACGAGACTTTGAAGGCCGAGGCCAGCGAACTACAGAGACTGCGGGCGCAGGAGCTCCAGCGCAATGAACTGGAGACCCGAGAGCTCTATCTGATGCTTCGAGACGCCCAGGATATTGCTGCATCCAACGCCCGCAAAGCAGCCAACCCAGACCAAGAGCCATCGGCCGCCGATCCATCCCAGATGCCTGGAATTCTGGACCGTGAGCGTCTTATGGAGCGATTGGAGCGTCAACTGGAGAGAACTAAAACGCAATTCAAGCTTGAGGGCAGAGTCTGGGGCCAGCATGGCCCATCTGACCGTCTGCGTGAGCTGCGTGAGAGAATGGACGGAGAGGATGATTCTGGTGAAGAATTCACTGAGCAGACTCGTCGCCATCTGGACCCGGGCTCCCTTGGATCCGTGTACCGGAAACGCAGCCATGTGCCTGAGATGGACGAGTCCGTTGAGGGCCAAGCTCTTTCTCCCGTTGATGAGGACGAAGAGGCTGTGTACGAGAAGCCACGCTTAGTGGAATTACAACGACCTCGTCTGAACCCTGCTCAGGCCACTGGCTTGCTCGGCGAACTTGCCTCTAAGGTGCCCAAGTATGATGAAGGCCCAGAGGGGACTGGCACTGCAGGCGAAGACAAGGATACCGCAATGGAGGATGGTCAACTCAAACCAGAGTCAACAGCACAGCAAGGCTCATTGGCAATGCCACCCCCGCCGCCACCACCACCGGGTGGCCTTGCTATGCCTCCCCCCCCCCCCCCTGGAGGTGCCAAGCTCCCGGTTCCTCCACCACCACCGCCAGGTGGAAGTGGTCTCCCTCGCCCTCCGCCGCCGCCGCCAGGTGGCCTTGCTATGCCTCCCCCTCCTCCGCCAGGCGGTGCCAAGGGTATCCCGGTCCCTCCACCTCCCCCTCCGCCTGGCGGCAAAGCCGGTCTGCCTCCTCCCCCGCCTCCTCCAGGTGGTATTGGTGTTCCACCACCTCCTCCACCGGTCCCTGGAGGCAAAGGTGGGTTTGTTCCTCCGCCCCCGCCACCAAGTGCTCCATTGGGTGCTGGTTGGAAGCCCTCTTTTATTACTCCAAACTCCGTTGTTCCTATGAAGAAGTTCGGTGATCCCAAGAACAACCTCAAAAAGGTGCATTGGGACAAGGTTGATACTCCTGAAGTAACAGTCTGGGCTGCGCACGCTGTTTCGGCCGAGGAGAAGGAACAGAAATACACCGACCTGGCCAAGAAGGGTGTTCTGGATGAGGTCGAACGGCTGTTCAGGGCCAAGGAGACTAAGATCTTCGGAGCCAGCACAGCGGCCAAGGCGCGCAAAGACAAGAAGCAGGTCATTTCCAATGATTTGTCTAAGAACTTCCAGATTGCCTTGTCCAAGTTCTCTCAGTTCCCACCTGATACCGTGGTTCAAATGGTCATTCACTGTGACCGAGAAATTTTGGACAACATGGTCGTTATGGACTTCTTCCAAAGAGATGAAATGTGCACCATCCCGGAGAACGTCGCTAAGTTGATGGCGCCGTATAGTCGGGATTGGACTGTTCCGGGCGCTGAAACCTCTGATCGTGAACAGGATCCCAGTGAACTGACTCGTGAGGATCAGATCTATCTCTCCACCGCTTATGAGCTAAATCACTACTGGAAAGCGAGAATGCGTGCACTGTCTCTGACGCGCTCATACGAGCAGGAATACGAGTACACCTCCTCCAGGTTACAAGAGGTCGTTCGAGTCAGTGAATCTCTGCGAGATTCAGTCTCGCTCATGAATGTTCTCGGTCTCATCCTGGATATTGGAAACTATATGAACGACGCCAATAAGCAGGCTCAGGGTTTCAAGCTGAGCTCGCTCGCTCGCTTGGGTATGGTCAAGGATGATAAGAATGAGACCACCTTTGCCGACTTAGTCGAACGTATCGTGCGCAACCAGTATCCAGAGTGGGAATCCTTCTCTGATGAAATCAACGGTGTCGTTGGCCTCCAAAAGGTTAACGTTGATCAGCTTTGCACAGATTCCAAGAAGTACATCAGCAATATCAAGAACGTGCAGGCAAGCTTGGATGCAGGAAACCTCAGCGACCCGAAGAAATTCCACCCTCAGGATCGTGTCAGCCAGGTGGTTCAGCGAAGCATGAAGGATGCTCGGCGTAAGGCCGAGCAGCTGCAGCTTTACCTAGATGAGATGGTGAAGAGTTACGATGACATCATGGTCTTCTACGGTGAAGATAATACCGATGAGAATGCTCGTCGAGACTTCTTCGCGAAATTGGCTTCCTTCTTGGTCGAATGGAAGGTTTGTTTATTCATCCCAAAATGAGGCAGATGGCCACGTGTAACAAATTGCTAACCGTTTTCTACAAACAGAAATCTCGCGAGAAGAATATCGGCTTGGAGGAAGTTAGGAAGCGCACCGAAGCTTCACTGGCCCGCAAACGACTCAACGTCAATCTCGCCAATGCCAATGGTGCTGCGCCAGAACCGCAGAGTTCACCCGCCAACAGCGGTGCAATGGACTCGCTCCTCGAGAAGCTGCGTGCTGCTGCGCCCCAGGCCAAGGATCAACGAGACCGTCGCCGCCGTGCTCGCCTCAAGGAGCGTCACACCGTTCGCGTTGCCTCTGGACAACATGTTCCCGATGGCGCTTCGGAAGAAGGCAAAGACGGAAACGAAGATGCGGCCGATGGCGATGCCAAGACCGATGAGAACGGTCTTCTGAGCCCGCCTCTACCCGATGACGGAGACCAGAGCACCAAGGAGGCACAGACATCTGAAGGCGAAGATATTGCCGACCGCGCGGCCAGCATGCTTCTTGGCCTAAGGAGTAACTCTGACGCAGGTGGCGAGCGTCAGAGACGGCGAAGAGAGAGCGCCGATGAAGAACGTCGAAATCGCCGCATGAGACGACGCAACGGAGCGACGAGCGGAAGCAAAGATAGTGCGGATGGATCAGGTCTTCCAGCCGTGCAAGAGCCCATGTCTCCTTCTCGCACCGACTCCATCGGTGCGGATGACCAGGCTCTGCCGAGTCCTACTCAAGAAGAAGCACAATTATCAGCGCCTCCTTCTATCATCGTCTCAGAGCAACATGATGATGACCAAAAACAACAAGAACCCTCTGCGGACGGTTCATCTTCCAGCCATCCGATTGAATTGTCGGATTGAGACTGTGAACAGCCCCACGGCCGACCCTAATCTAATGTCTGATAGATTCTTACGTGATGCCGTCTCGGAAACCTTTTTCAATTTTCTCCCTTGCATCACCTTTTTCCCTATCTCTTACCCTCGACTCGACTGTATAATACCCTTTTCACTCCCTCTCACCCCCCCTTTGATCCGCCATTTTCTCCATTCACTTCGTGATGAGCGTCTGCTGCATGGGTCATGATACCACCGTCTTCCCTTTCTCTTTTTCTTTCTCCTCTTCTTTCTTTCCCCTGGTTATTCCATGTTAAATTTACTTGTCTGTCGAGGGCACCCCCGCATACCCCACCTTGTCCATGGCTCAAGAGCGGTCTCTCCTTGTACATAATTCCCTTTTCTCTCATCACTCGCGGCACTATCGACCATGACTGTCAATTTTCATGATCGAAAGACCTGCCTTCTATCGAATTGCATTCCCATGTTCGATGTCCTATCTCTGTCTCTGTGAAGCCCGAGGCTTCTGCTATTCCTCCTGTACATTCCCCGGATCGCAGGTAGTGTGTGATGAGGGTTGTATGTGTATGCGAATCACTGCTACGAATGCGGGGAGGAGGGCAAGTTTCTCCATCCAAGGGAGCGGTGGGATAGAATTTCTATAGGAAGAATTTACCTGTTATATTCATAGATTACTATGTGCGAAATTGAGCTCGATGAAATGAGCTACTTGGGAACTAGATTCATCCCAAAAGATCCTAGTAGCTTTGTTAAATTGTAATAATTATCAAGATATCCTCAGAAAGTAAGCCAAGTATAAGGGTAATAAGGCATCAGCTAGTAATTGGTTAGTCAGTTAAGAAGTAGAGGAGAATTCTAGGTTTCGATTGATATTCAAAGACTGATTCTTAGAAAACCTTAAAAAAGCAGGGGCTTATTGTCTACTTTGTAAGGCAAACCAGACGGCCTAATTGGACTTCTTTTCGAGTCAATTCCCTGTTGCATGGATGGGCTGCTTGCTACAATACTACCAAGAATATGTTCGTAGCTACCGGGCTGATACTCTTTCATACGAATCGTGTTATTGAAATACTCAGTATTCAGCCCAAAACACCTTGAGACTCGAGGCTGCTAATTACATAACTCGTGGGTAAAAGCGCCACTTCGGCGGTGCTCAGCTAGCCCTAGGAGTGGGGTGGGGTTTAATAGTTCCTCGCGGTTTGTGATAGTTTCCAATGGTGGTGGGGTCTCGAAAGTTCTCGGGATGGGATCGTCGGGGTTTTCAGCTGTGCCTCCACCACGAGGCATCTGTATAATCCTCGTTTTAGATCATAGATCTGTAGATCCGAGAAAAAGAGCGGGGGACCATAGAATGATTTACGTAACGTTATCTTCGGCTGTGATAAAATGGATCATGATTTACAGACTATTTACAGACTAGTAGAAATTTGTTAAAGAAAGACATTAGGCTGAACCCTGCTCATCGTAGATTCAACCCATAGATCAGCAGATCCTCGATTAGTACTCAATAGATCGACATATGTATCTGGGAAAGCGATCATCCATACCATACCCATAGGATAGACCTCAGGTATAAATACCACTCCGAATTCGCATCTGCTACATTGGACAAGACCACCCTACCACGTTCCAATATCAGACACACAATTTCAAAATGAAAGCTTCAATTCTTCTTCTTGCCGGCTCCGTTGGCATTGCTCTAGCCCAGCCCACTTCGTCCCTTACTGAACGCGACCACGTCGAATCTCCTCTCTGCCCTTGGTTCGGCGATGACAACCCTCTTCAGCCTACCCCTGCATGCTGCTACAACGTGCCGTGGACTAAAGAGCGTTATCCTTACAAAGTTTGCATGGCCCGTAAGATAATTCCCTGGTCACCGCAGAGATATTTAGTAGGGACAAAATTTCGCTGACCTGTATTTAAACAAACAGCTTCGAATGCAGATAATACCGCCGACTTCGAGGCAAGCTGCCAGAAAATCAACCCCAAGGCCCGACCTGTGTGCTGCCCCCAAAGTCTCATCACCGACGATCCGGAAAAGAATGTCGGCGATGATATTCTCTGTTACAAGGCGAAGACCGTTAATTAGGGGTTTGCATTCATATAGCTATGCGAAGCGGAAATGAGAATGTATAGAATGTATATAATAATTATAAATTGATATAATACTCTGTACTACTGGCCGGTATACTAATAATAGCCCTGGAGTATTATACTATATACCCTCTAATTCTTACAAACTTGAATTAGTTACTATGGTAATAGTACCTAGGTACCTACCTAGGTAGGCTCGATTAGAGGCCGGAGTTCACGGTGGGATAAAGAAGTTTTCATACAAATCTAGAGATATTTCTTATTATGTGTCTTCATACTATATAGTCGATTGAATAATTGATTCGTTTTATTTACCCTAACCACTCATAGTCCGAAAGTTAGGTCCCAGGTTATGCGATAACAGAAAATGCTTCAACACTAGTATTCCCAGTCCTCTGGTTTTATTTTGGTGTCCTTTAGGCCCAGTATCGAGAGATAAATCGATTAATGATTGAGCGTCTTTCAAATAATTATATCGTCAATGTTACCACGATGCTGCAAGTTGTGCGACTCTCGATCAGGATAGTATGACCTTCACCTTTTGCCAGCTAAATTCTCGCTTCCTGGTTCACCAATGCGGATATCCATATTCATTCTTTTACATTCGGCTATTTGCATGCATGCCCTCTAGGCCATGTTCTCTCAATTGAATTCTAATGTTATACACAGAATCAGTTGACTTCCTCCGCCCAATCAAACAGCTAGTTGAACTGCACAAATTCAATGTCTGATGTCGCCATAGCTTTATGCGCTCGAGTGCATACGAATTTCCGTGTGGAACTTGTCAGCCAATTTTTGGATCTGGACAGGAATGTTAGTTTACTCCTAAAACTCCAACAAAGAACGTGTTGAAACTGACCGCCTTGTACTTTGTAGCAGCTTCTTCCACTCCGACTGTGATGAGAATTCCCCTCAAATCACCATCTCTATCGATGGCTTCACTAGTTTCAGTCAATTTAGTCTTGACATGTCCTAATTCTAGAACCTGGTTATCGAAGATTGTCCCCAGAATACCCATGCCCTTAATGGCATCCTCCATCTTCTCAATCAGCATTGGGAGATGAGTGTCCAGCGCCGCAATAGAGAGGCGACAGGCAGTGATCTTGACTTTAGCCGACTTGCTGTCTTCCAACTCTTTCACAAGCTTCTTCAATGCCTCCCCCTCTTTGACAAATTGCTTTGACCAGGTTTGGACGCCTCCGGGCCCCATAAGCTGCATGAGGGTGTTCTGCCAGAATTTCCACTTTTGAGGATCAACGTTCTCTTTCTAATCCCAGTGTTAGCTAGCCTCATATGCATTTGATTCTTCTTGGATACTCACGAAGTCCTTTTCGGCTTTTTCCTTTTCCTCTTTCTTCTTTGTCACTTTGTTTTCCAAGCCGCCCAACTCTCCATCCACATATTTCAGGATCGAGTCATAAGACTTTCCTTCCGACAGCACCTTGCCAGAGTAAGTGCTGTTCAGAGCGTTGACCAAGCCTCTGTTAGTATCTGTCTCGCTTTTGAACTGACACGTCCTATGTTAGCATGGCCTTTTCACATCAGCAAAGACGACTTCGTTACATACACTTGTCAGCTTCACTTTGATAGCCGTAGCCTTTGCGCTATTTGCTTTGGCTTCTTTAATCATCTTCTCGAGATCATACACTGCCAGCTTTTTGGCCGTTTGGAATTCCTTGGCTTCCTCGGACCCCTCTGCGTTGTACTTTTCATCTCCGAGGATGTCAAGTTGCTGCTTCAAACCTATGCGCTTTCCCTCAATAGCTTCGATCGCATTGGTACAGTAACTAATAATCATAGTGGGGAACGAAACTATTCTAGTCAGCATCACTCAAAAGCGGGAGGGAGAAAGAGACACAGCATACCTAGCTCATCTAGCGAAGACTTTCTGAATTTAGCGCATGACTTTGATACGGACGTGAGAGCTGTCTTCGTTTCCTGCACAAGTAACAAAGGCGATCCGTCAATAACTATGATCTCAATTGTATGTAGTGGTTGTCCCATACATGATAAAGATTCGGCTTCACTTTGTGAATATCGTCGTATGAACTCTCAGGAAGCTTCTTCTCAAACTCGTCATCATCTTCGGGATAAATGGTTCCGGCAGTGACATACGCCTGTATAGCTGCAAAGAGGAGGGCGTTAGTGATGTAACATGTCTGCCAGATACACAAGCTCGAAGCGTACCGTTTATAGGCTCAACCTTTTGAGATAATTTGGCATCGTCACCGAATTTGCCATCGGCTACAAAGCTTTGCGGGGCTTCAACAAAGGCTTTCTCAATAGCCTTTGCGGTTTCTGGAGTGAATCCCATAATGAACGATAGGGAGTAACTTAGTGCTATAAAAAACTGACGATAAAAAATATAGTGGAGAGGTTAGACGAAAAGAATTTATCAAGAGCTTTGAACTCTTTAAATACTTTGGAAAGCCCCGGAGAGGATTCCTCAGGTATGACCTATCACTCTGACAGGGAATAATTATCAGCTCTAAATGTCCACCCAATTCTTGTTTAATCCACCTGGGTATACCTAAACTAGACGAGCTGAATCATCCTATCCGTCGCACTATCAATACTACTCAACGTACATGGACTATGTAAGTGCTACCTACTTAGGTACGTAGTGGTTTAAGCAATAGTACCGCGTGTAACATAACCATTGGCCGAACATAACTATATAACGTAACTATCTACGTAACTGTGCATAGACTTTCGTAGGTCCACATAAGGTGGAGCTCTTTGGAATTCAGATCGTGTAAAGGCAACTGCACTAGGGGGGCTAAGATCGTCCGTCCTGCAACAGGACAGTTATGCAGTTCGCATGACATCTGAAGGAGAGCAATTGGTAGATCAAAAGTTCGTTTATAGTCCCGAGGGCTGCAAAATCTGTGGACAATGGGGCGATTATGTATATTAACAGCAAATTTGTATACCTTTAGCCCCTATGGACAAGTGAATTGAATACCACAAACTAAATGAGGCGGCCAACAAGCCTGACACTAAGCAAAAGTACCAAAGTGTGGGGATAAAGAGGGGGGGGGGGGATTCCGGACATTCAGGTAGCCAAGCGATGGAAAAAGTAGATAACTAGAAGTAATCAAATGCCCAGTCAGGCTATTCTGGCCTCGTAGAGAGGGGTCTAAGCGGGCTTCTTTTTGGTCAAAGCCCAGAAAGTTGCATACATAAACTATCCTATTCGACTGATTTTTTCGGCAAATTTTTGATCTTTCGTAAAATTAAAACTAGAATGGGACCTTTGGCGGGCTTTGCTGAGGTCTAGCCGTGCGCATGGGAATACAGTTTGGGCGGAGGAGCTGAAACAGGGGGGAGGAAGGGAACGATGGGGCAATTTAATCGTAATATCCACCCATTTTCATACATGAAGATTACATTCATGGTAGAATTATCCTAAAAATCAACTAAACATCATTTTGCCACGATAATACCCTGATTGAAATCATTCCATAAACCCTAAAACCTCCCAATCCTCCCACGCCTTAATTTTGCAGAAACTGAAGGAGTTAAAGAGATTATAGATCAAAACCTGAAATTCATAGTATGAGTTATTTCCAACTGACATTACCTTTTAGACTCAGAATTCCACCTTGATGAACTGTCAAAGTGGGGCCCCAGATGAGATTCAGCCGCGCCACGGGCCGATCTGTGTAACCGTCCGTGCACAGTTATAGTTCTCGCAATTCACTCGCTTGAGCTAAGGCAGGAATCTATACGAAAGGATCTACAGGAGATTGTTTCCTAATTTGATAACTATATAATAGTTTCAAGAGAGCAGGTGGGGTAGGATGACGGTGTTCAATCATACGTTGACGTAACAATTAGCACAGAATCGACTTGTCAACTTGGACGTATACCGAGGTAGGCTTCATTCATTGTAGTCACACTAGTTCACTTTTCAGCTATGCCATCATTACCGCGCTGTGATGATAAATTCTTTGGGCCATACCTTGGAGCTTATAGTTAATAACTTCCAAAGCCCCTTTGAGGTAATGGAAAAATCATCAGTCTTAACAATTTTGCATCTCACATCATGGCCCAATCCCAATATATCGCCGTCGACACTCCCAAAGGGACCAGGCCACTGGTATCTGTGAAGGTTTCCGATCTGGGAGATAATCCTACCTTGGCCAGTGTCAGGAGCAAATGTTTAGTGTAGGTCTATGACACGACGCATTGAAAACTTTGGATTTCAAGAAAGACAGTCACTCATCAATAGGATAGGCCCACCACACATGCTTTCAGCGCCAATGGGAACAACCCTATTTCTGATTAGACTACCCTGGTAGAATACATTTCTCTCACTTCTGCTTTTGTAGGTGCCCTTCATTCCATTCTTCCAGACAAAGACTAACCTGAAGTACAGAATGGCGTTGAGAAAACCGAAACTTCCACAACCGAGGATGGTGGTAATGAGCCCACTGGTACTTCTAGCAGCCAAGGAATTCAGATTATTCGGATCAAGCTGGTCTCTGTTTCCCCAGTGACGGTAGAGAAAGAGGGAAACGCCAGGGAAGACCTTGCTCAGTCGACTGTGGGGAAAGACCTTCGGGAGTTGCTGAAAGGTTTCGGAAAGCCTGTTGAAGCTGGGAAGCTGAGCAACACAGCTGAGTTGCTAGACAATCTCGCTTCACTACAAGAAAGCTATGCCACAAAACCGAAGTAAGTGGAAAAGTCTACATAACATAACATGTACAGGGATTCATTTATGTGTATTACAAGAAGGCTAACTAGATACTTTGTTCTAGCCCTAAGGCCTCCTACGTCGACGCAGCTGATCTGACTGAGACACAGTGGGAAATGATTTTGTTCAACAATCGTTTGCTGCATGGATATTACTTCGATGACACGAACGGTATCTTGATGAAGGCCCCCAAGAGAGGTATCTCCCACTTTATACTTTCAATTTTACCTTTTAATTACTGGGCTAATATAAATCGTTGACTAGCTTTTGTCATAAAGCGTTCTGCCAAGACACCCGACCCAACACGGGGGCTGATTAGCAGCAATATCCCAACAAAGACCGATCCAAATGAAAGAACAGTAGTGCCATCGAAAACAACAGATGCACCTGGAGTCCGAGAATATCTAGTACGTTGTAACGCATCTTTTCCTTTTATTTCCGAGCTAAGTATGAGATAGAACACGTTGCCTGGAATTCCCTTGTTTCACGTGCATGATGACTCGAACATTACCGTTGTTGAAACTGCGACAGCCTTCCAGAAGAAAATCGCCGATCAGGGATTCAATTCAACCGCTGTCGAGGCAAATATGTGAGAACAACTAAATTCTTCTAGCACCGGCTCATAGTCCCGGTTGTTCTAATAATGCTACTTTCCAGGTCTGCTCAGGTCTTTGGCTCTTTGATATCTGCATCTGGGTCGTGGCAGGATGAAAAGTCCCACGATATCCAGGACTTGTCTTCGGAAAAACAAACCTCTCTTCGGGTCGCCTACAAGGTATACTTATATCCGAAATTGTCTGGATTATTGCATGTGTTGGGATTGTGGCTGAGAAATGTACATACTAGTTTCCCCGTGTGGTTGTAGACCTAAGCCCCGAGTACCTCCAATTGTCGGATGAATGTTGGAACGACATTCTGCAGATAACCGATCTCGACGGCGTCGACAGATTCGCGCGGCAATACGGTAAGGACCAGTTGATTTCACCATTCAAACTTGTTATCCAACTGACCAATCGTCTTACACAAAGGAAATGCTTTCTCAACCCAAATCATGCTCGGTGGCTTATTGCACAGCTCCCGGCATGTTGCAGCCAAGACTACCGATCACCTGGAAAAGATCAAGATAGAGACAAAAACTGCAGCGGGCGTTAGCTTTGCATCCCCCAAGGTGAACCTTGGTGTCAATTATGCTAACTCCAAAGGCAATGAAGATGAAAACTCATCCGGTGCAGGCTACAAGAATGCAAACCTAGCCTGGGAGGCGCGCGGGGGTGACACCACCTTGTGTTCCAAGTGAGATATAAATGCTTCTCAGTTGTATTTGAAATATTATACGCTAACCTTTGCAGCCCGCCGGAATGGGCAAATACCGTCAAGGACTATCGAAACTGGAGAATTACCGAGGTCAGTTGGCAATCACTTATGATATGCAGAATGAGCTGCTGATATGACCCACAGCAATCCCACCTGCTTAGCCTGAAGGACATGATAAGCCGAATTGATTACCTGCTTTATCAAAGGCTCGAGTATCCTTCAAATCCGCTACCCACCGCCACAGCAGAAGATCAAAATAAGGCATTGATCATAGCTTTCTCGAAACTTGTGGCGGCCAATGACCCAAAGTTGAAAACCCTTGCTGTATTATTTGCAAGCGACAACAAGCGCGCCGATTTCGATGCATGGTTAAGAAAGAAAGGTCGCAACAAGCAGGTTTTGGGTGAACAGCCCACATGGGATAAGCTAAGCCCCGACCAAAAGATATTCTATGGGTTGTATGCTGTGGAAAAGAAAACTTTCTCGGACCCTACTCCAAAGCCAAAGACATGAAATAGTTTTCGACTTCATATCTGATGGAGGATGGAAGCCAGGGATGGTACATGCATGCGCTATCTAGGAGAGAGAGAGCCTGAGAGGAAGATGAGGCTCGGAAGGCGAGATCCCATGGCACTGGCTGTGGTGGTGGCTGAGGCCTACACCCCAGCAACATCTATCTATCGACATATTCACCAGTACCTAGGTAGATAATCAACGTTTTTCAGCTCTCTATTTGCATATAATACCGCCGACTTCGAGGCAAGCTGTCAGAAAGTCAACGCCAAGGCTCGACCTGTGTGCTGCCCCCAAAGTCTCATCACTGACGATCCAGAAAAAATATTGGTGATGATATTCTCTGTTACATGGCGAAGACCGTCAATTAGGGCTTCAAGTCTGGATACACATAGCTACGTTAAGCGGAAATGATAATGCATAGAATGTAAATAATGATATGTTGATATAGTACATAATAGTATACTAGTAGTATAGTATTCTTCTCTAATAGTACCTACTATTAGGTACACTGTAGCCCTGGGTACATGTTCTGGCGTAACAATAGGTGTGATCATGACGCGGTTCATGTTTTATTATGGCTAATTAGAGGCTATAATCGCTGGATCACTCCCAAGGTCAAGAGCCTAATGCTACTACTAGTATGTATATCTATTCATAACTTGAACTTGAAGAATGCTCTTCTTTACTTCGAATAATTGAATCCAGCTTATTGTATTCTTATACTGGTGATTTTTACCCTTATACACCGGGCCATGGTACCTGTATTTTTTAGCCTACTTTTTATTAGAATTCATTTACAGCCCATCCACTGTATTGACGTCCTTACTATCATTAGAATGGTATTATTAACCATCAGTGTCCATGTGGCACCAGGCAGATATCTCTTTCCCTCGGACCTTGAGGGAGGACTCCAGATCATCTTCACGTTCTATAACATTCAGCTTCACAACCATAGTAGCATGAAAATTGGTATCACGTCCCGTGTCGTCCGGAGGTGCCTCCGGGAGTTTTTCCGTTTAGTTTAAATTGAAGAACAACACACTCGGGCCTTCGCCTGGAAAGAGCGATACATTTAGCCCACCAGCTGAACAACTTTGTTGACAAAACAGAACGTAACCTGGACGCGCTCCTTCCCGACTACGGAGTAGAGCTTCATTTTCACTCCCCAACAACCATTGAACTCGCACACGATGACCACCACCACCATATTTGCGACCGTTATGGCTGCTGGGGTTCTGGGCCTCTTTTCCCCTCTTCCGTTCTTCTTTCTTCTAGGCGCTTTCGCGTTTATGTGGTGTGCTCTGTACCACCCCCACAGCAGAATGCATATTACCATGAATACTATATCCCCAGTCATGAGCCTAGAACTTTTGGGCACTATGTATTTTCGACAATATCTGGTACCTGTCAGAGTGATCACCGTGCAGAGAGCCTTAACACCGACTCTTGCATACAACCCATTCAGACCGATCCTCCACCGTTACCCTGGACCAATTCTCCCTACCGAACTCTCCAGCTTGGGACTACCTAGTAGTAGCATCGGGCTCCAATATTGGGAGGAATTATATTCCCCGTCAAACAGGGATATGTCACACGCCCACAAGACCGTCATTGAGGTATCAATTGAACGGGGCAGACGGGGTTTTCGGATTCGCACACGTACCAGTATCCACCTGGACAGCGAAAAGGGAGCTGGCAAATCTCTCGAGGTCTGATTGTGCAATGCAAGAAAATTGGGCTGGAAACGCCAAACCTCGATCTGGAACGAAGGGGTCCAACGACTAGATCGATATCTTTCTGCAACCCACGGAACCTGGCAAGGCATCTCATGGTTCACTCACCTCCATACAACTAGCACTTTGACCGATACATCAACCCGAGGCGATTCCTCACACCAGCTGATCTCAACAGCCTTAGAGAACTGTTTCCAGAGGCGGTTGGTGTCCACCTGCTGGTCGCAGGATTCCTGGTCATTCTGTTTGAAGAAGTGTCGTCCCAACGCCAGTGTATGGCATAGTCGCTGTTGGAATGTATATGCGTTTCTATCTGTATGACGACGCAACAAATGGTGTATGAGAAGTTATTGCTCTCGGGGTCCCCTCCACAGCTAAACCCTTGCATCTGATCTGGGATCACATTGCTATCCAGCAGATCCTTGACTACATCAAGGCCAACCACTGAATTATTAGCTAGTCATACGAGCATGTATTTAAACCGAACGACAAACATTCTTGATCTTCTACCTTCGATTTAAGTTGTGCGCTGAATAACTGTAAAGTCAAAATGGTAGCTGACCTGTTGTACGAAACGTCCTTATTGATTACTACTAGTAACCAACACTGGCCACCAGTACCAGTATCAAAGTGGGAATTTCGCTTCAAGAATCTGGAATCTCCGAAATCGATTTGCCATCTGTGGTCTTGGTTCTTGGCTTATATTCAAATTCAGAAGTTCCTCTGTCGTTTCCGTCTGTGCACTGGTACTGGTATTTATTATGCCTCCCTGCGATGATAGTTTAATCCATTTGGTCAGTTACTATACACTGAGGGCAACCAGACCATGTATCCAGTTTCCAATTTCGAGTCTTAACAACCGAGCTGGTAGGTCTAACTTCTTTTTAATAAACTTAAAAGTTAAAATTTAGTCTGGTTTTAACTATTCTGACTAGAAAAGTAATTCTATCTAGTCGATGCTGCCAAGGTGGACATCTACACGTGACCGTTATCTTAGACCCACCAATCTTTAATTCATTGCAGCAGCACGCGACGCCAGCTCAGTCAACCGCAATTTAAGCTTGAAAGCTTTGTTTCTGCGTATGAGAGCCTGTCAATATCAGAGCCTGCGATGGGCCGCTTCCATACGCTCTCCACGGGCCCAAATACAGCCTACAACATTCAACAAGCTTCTCTCCCGACATCATGATTTGACCCGCGGAGCGCAATATTTAAGAAGCGGACATAGCCCCATTCGAAGTTTCTCGTCGACTAGATATGCACCTTTCATGCTAGACGCAGATTCCACAATCTATGCGCTATCCACAGCACCCGGAAGAGCGGCGATTGCAGTCGTGCGAGTCTCCGGGCCAGCATGCGCCTCGGTATAGTCCTCCCCCAAAGAGTATAATCTAATCCCAAAAGCTTATGCTGATTACTCCGTGCATACAGATCTACAAAGCACTCTGTCCTCGATCACCCCTTCCCAAACCGCGCTTTGCCGCGCTCCGAACCCTCTACGATCCCGACCATCCACCTTCCACAAACACCGTGCTCGACGCCGGTGCCCTCGTCCTCCATTTTCCAGCCCCAAAAACAGTCACAGGCGAAGATGTCCTGGAATTACATATCCACGGCGGACCAGCCATAGTCAAAGCCGTTCTCGGCGCGATCGCCCGAACAAACCATTCAGACACGGTGGTCCGATACGCCGAACCGGGCGAGTTCACGCGCCGGGCATTCATGAACGACCGCCTCGGTCTCCCGCAGATCGAGGCGCTCGGCGATACGCTTTCCGCAGACACCGAACAGCAGCGTCGGCTGGCGGTGCGTGGCTCAAGCGACGCCCTGCTTACGCGCTACGAGGATTGGCGTCAGCAGCTACTCTATGCGCGCGGCGAATTGGAGGCCTTAATTGACTTTTCCGAGGATCAGCATTTTGATGAGTCGACCGAGGAGCTGGTCTCCTCTGTTGCGACGCAGGTACGTGATCTGCAGGTACAGATCGGGTTTCATATTCAGAATGCGTCGAAGGGTGAGTTGCTTCGTAATGGGATTAAGGTTGCGCTTTTGGGGGCTCCGAATGCAGGTAAGAGCTCGTTGTTGAATCGTGTTGTGGGCAAGGAGGCTGCTATTGTTAGCACCGAGGAAGGAACGACAAGAGATATTGTTGATGTTGGCGTTGATCTTGGTGGGTGGTATTGCAAACTTGGTGATATGGCGGGTATTCGTGCGGAGGGGAATGGTACCGATTCTACGGGGCGAATTGTTATAGGTGCTGTTGAGAAAGAAGGGATTCGCAGAGCGAGAGAAAGAGCTTTGCAGTCTGATGTGGTCGTGGTTGTTGTCTCACTCGAGGAGAGTTCCAATGGGCGGCAGCGTCTTTTTGTTGAACCTGAGGTTCTTGATGCGGTGAATGATTGCGTTAGGGCTGAGAAATGTTTGGTTGTTGCCATCAACAAGTGTGACAAGCTTCCTGTGGAAGAAAGAAATGGTCGTTTACCCCAAGTTCTGGAGACTACTATTTCTAATGTCTTCCCGGCCGTGCCAAAGGAACGTGTTTTCGCCATTTCCTGCAATGAAGCAGAGCGTGGGCTTTCGCCCCTCAGCCATTCTGACCCAGGTCATCTACAATCATTTCTACATGGATTGATCTCGACATTCGAGCAGATCGCTTCACCGCTAGGCATGGAAGGAGATAATAGTGGCCAATATGATATATCCTATTGGGAGGACTCATTGGGAGTCACTCATCGACAAAGCTCGAATCTAGAAAAATGCCTCGACCACCTGGAAGATTTCTTATCCCAGACTTCCTCCGCTTCCTCAGCCCTCGATTCGTCTCCATCTTCGTCCTCGAATGGAATTTTCGAAGAAGCCGAAATTGACATCGTCACTGCTGCCGAGCATCTGCGCTTTGCGGCGGATATGCTTGCTAAAATCACCGGTAAAGGTGAGAGCGGGGATGTCGAAGATGTGCTCGGGGTCGTGTTCGAAAAGTAAGTCCTCTGTCTGTCTTCCGTTGACCGAATCGGCAAGCTGATGATCGTAGGTTTTGCGTTGGCAAGTGACAAAAAATTGGGAGATTTTCTTAAGATGAGTGGAATCACTTTGTGCAGAAAGGCACGGCTAAGTGGAGATTGAAGAACGGGTTGCGCCGTTCGGGGGCTCAGGATCATGCTGGCATATACCTGGTAGGTATTGCTTGTTCTCGTGCCCACGGAGAGCCTCGTCTATGGGAACCAGGATCATGTCAAAAGAGTTGCTGCTGCACATTGTGCGCTTTTGAGCAACTCAATTAGATGACTGGAAAGATGTGATATCTGGACGGTTGGCAGGCCCGTTGTAACCACCACGGCCCATGCTGGAGTTGTCTTGGTCGTCGCCGAGGAACATTGTAATATAGTGTCTGGATGATGTAGAGAAGACGAGGTTGTACAACAATGTATATAGAAATATGATCAAGAAAGAGCAAGTAATGTTTTCAGATGATGCTTTTGGCTTTTGAAAGTTTATTGTGTCTTGGAAAATATTGGGAAAAAGTTAGATTTCCCACGGTTGATATTTATACAAGACGCCTTCAGCAGAACCAGTCTGCCTTAAGACGCCATGAATCATCCAGGCACCCAGAATCTTCCAGCCCTGCCATTTCAGGCAATCTTCTAGATTACAGCCTGGAAATCAACCGAAGAATGGGGCCTGCTCTCGTGTACAATCTGAGTCAGGGCCGCCCATTGCTAGCTGCGCATCAAGGTTCTTCATGAGACTTGCGGGCCGACTAGACGAAGCGGAGCTGTGATGCGCCAATCTTCTACCCTTGGCACGCCGTATTGCTGGATGATTCATCAAAACTAATGCTACCGTGCCTACGATGATGATGCAGATCTTAGTCGAGCGAGGCTTAGTGGGTAATCATTTGGCATTCAATCAATTTTTTTTTTCAGCTGACGAAACGCGTTTGGAAGGTTGAAACATGCTACTGGGGCTCAGCCGGTGACTCCTCGAGTGGACCCGGGCCTAACGGCTGTCTATTGATTTGCAATCATTCTTCTTCCCTCTTCACCTTGAAACGGTTGTGAATCTACCTTATCGCATGTCCGGCTCTTGTTGATTTTCTTTCCTTGATTTCTTGTTGGCCTTAATCGCTTGATTTCGGAGAATGTCAGATTCTAAGAATAGCCCCATCTTTCCCCCGCCCTTCACTATAGGCTGAGCAGCCCACAAACTAGGAACTAGGAGCAAAATGGAGAGCAATTTCCTATCCTTACAGTAGCGCAGAAGTGTGTAATTGTGACCGGAGTTTTTTTTTTTTTCATTATTGGGGTCCGCAGATGCTATTAATAAAAATAAGAATCCCACGTTGTGCCCTTGCAGTGTGCTGCCAGGGCCCCGGTTATGAAGGTTGAGGATTACCTCTTTCGGACCGCTCTCGCGTCCATTTTCCTGTTTGGCCGACGTTTTTCGCTCTAAGGGCTGACGGGCGTACAAGGATAGATGGGAAACGATGAAAATTTTACAAGACGTGATTTAGGGCTTTGTAGAGATACTTTCTACGACGGAGTCCATCCCGACAATATGGTGAAGAATGGGGGCCGTTTGTGAGCAGTTGGGTGCTATTCATAGCACTAGCGCATCCCGGCTCGTCCATGTGGCCTCCTGGTTTGTCCTCTTTTCCACCCCACACGCTTGGTGGCTTCGCTAGTTGTAAAAGCACGCTAGCTATGCTGTTAGCTCTACTGTACAGTGCACGGTCTATCTTCTATAATATTGACTTTCCAGTAGGTATACCATGGCATCGGTACCCATAATCCACGCTTATCCTACATGAAGGAATACTTGGGAAGAGGAGACGTGCAGAAGTAGATGGACGGATAGTTGTCGGCTAATTTTGGATACTTCAGATATCAACCTGGTAGAGTTCCGAGCCTATGGTTCGGGCTGGAATTTGATACTACCGATACTACCAAGCGTGCGCCGACATCTGGATGATGCTATTTTTGCTGTGGGAAACACAGGTATCCGGCCGAGGCTCTCCGGGTTACGAATAGATGAGGAAGGTCGCACAGAGACGCAAGACATGTGATGGGACTGATTTCTGACAGATTTCCAATCATGATCATAATAATAGGTCTGCCCCCAAATTTTGGTCTCGGAGGATACCAGAATGGACAGGTTGTTTTGTAGATCAAAATGTGTCTTGAATCCTAGAGATCCTGTAGCACGCCTTGTCTATGAAATTTTCTCTATAGCTCGGCTATTGGCAGAGAACCTTTCAAGCTTCAAAGTCATCAAGCCAAAATTACTGCTGTACTATAAACTCACCGGTTGTATTGTCGGTGCTAAATATAAACCTGTTCCTCTAGTGTGTAGGTAGTAGCAATGTGTATACAAGAAACCTTCCCGAGACATTGCGGGGCAGCGAACCATGGTTCAGGACGGACGGAGAACATGCTTGGATCAACAACATCCAACCATTGCAAGCCACCTCCTCGATTACGAGCCCAATTTTGTCGTGGACACTACTGATGGATCATATTTCTATATCGCCAGAAGCGACAAGGTCTGCAGTGCACGTCCACACTGGCGGGTGCGCTAAGTGCTGGTGGAGATACCTTCCCCACCATGTGATTTGACGCTGTCAGCCTCGCCCTCTCGGGCTCGCTCTTCATGCTCTGCATCCTCAACCATGGATCCTGTCTCGGCCTTCGGTCTCATTTCGGGCGGCATTCAAGTCATTCAGGCCATCACATCGACTGTTCATGGCCTCAATCAGCTCTATGGAAAGTTCAAGGACGCTGATTTGACCATCCAATCCCTGATCCAGGAGCTGAGTTGTATCGGTGCAGCGCTGACTAGCCTCAAAGAATGGACCCGCTCGAATAGCGCCGATGGACTGCAATCGGAAGAGTACAGTCGGGATTTGGCCGTCGCCATGGGTGGCTGTCGTGTCATTATGGAGGTCGTATCTCACGACGTGTCCACCTTGGTGCAGCAATCCCGAGAGATTGGGATCTCAGGAATTCGCACTCGCATGCGAGTAGTTTGGAATGAAGAGACGATGCGCGGGCACCAAGAAAAGCTACACTCGCAGGTGATGGCGCTGCAATTACTGCTCCAGGTGTGCCAATGGTAAGATGGATTCGCTTAGCCTACCCGACCAACCACGTTTTTGACATTGATTGGCCATAATTAGCCACACCTCGACCGAGCAGGTGCGGTTGCTTAGGACTGCTACGACCAGACAGATCTTCCATAGAGTTGCGGACGATACAGCGACTATTTTGTCCAGTCGCGGAAGCCGCGCCCCATCTGACACAGACAGCATGTCTCAAAGTAGCCGAAACTCTGTCAGTGGTTCCGACTTTGATTTTCACAGGGCTATAGCAGAGTCACCGGCGTATCGTAGAACGCTGGATCCCATGGCTCTTACTGCAGCCTCGCTAGATCAAACCCATCTACCTATAGCCGAGAGTGATCAGAGTCCCTTCGCATTCACTGGCACAGATGAGGGATATGCAAGCAACCGCACAGAGACCACTAACCTAACAATCCCATCGCTAAATATCCCAGCACCAAAGCTCGAGGAAGAAGGTTATTTTCCCTTGCCTAGCAGTCCATCTGGACCTGTACGACATCCAACGAGCCCTCTCCATAGCCGGAGTGTTTCTCATACTCAAAATTCCCAGCAACAGCAAGCACCGGCCATCCGAAGGAATGCATCAGATTCAAAAGCGCAGAAATTGCGTACCTCAGGATCAAAAAGAGAAAGACTCTCCTCTTTCCTGGGTATGAGCACCCGCAGTCGCGCTAACCTCGCCATATCCCCGGGGGTCTCGCCGAACCCATCAACTAGCTCTGGCTCATCTAGAAGAAGACAGAGGCTAGAAGGTGACTTAAGCGCCAGTATAGACCTCACAGCAAAACATGCGGCATCAGTACCCCAGATAATCAAAGCAGCCCAGGCGGGCTCTCGAGACGAAGTGGAGCGGCTGATAGAACAAGGATGTGATCTCGAAGCCCGTCACTCCCGCTCAGGTCTAAATGCTCTTCTCGTTGCGGCACACTGTGGCCATGATGACGTTGTTGACTTGCTTATAACAAGCCATGCCAAGCTGAACATGGTTGACAGAGGAGGTCGGACTGCGCTGCACCTGGCCGCATCTCGTGGGCATCGAGCTGTGCTAGAAATTCTGTTGGAAGAGGGTAAAGATCTCCTCGAGACTCCGAATTCCTATGGTCAGACACCTTTGCGTGTAGCTGCGGACTTTGGGCAGCTAGAAGCTGCGTATCTCCTCCTCGCGTATGATGCACAGGTCAATGCGCGAGCAGAAAACAAGATGTCTGCATTGGTGAGTGCGCCACTTCAGGAGTAAATTTTGCGAAAGAAAGAACACTTACAAAGTCTATAGCACGCTGCTGCTAAGCGAGGGGATAGTGAAATTATTCAAATGCTGATTTCCCATGGTGCCGACCTGGAAGCCAAGGACGGAAATATGATGACAGCACTCCACCATGCCTGCGAGGAGGGACATCTTGACGCTATAAACATCCTCCTAGACAACCGAGCTGCGATTGAAGCACCGGGTCAGGATCGCAAAACACCATTAATATGTGCAGCCGAAGCCGGCCGTTCTCAAGCTGTTAAGTTACTCTTAAAACGCAAAGCCACCTCCCGAGGTCTCGACGAGACTGGCATGACAGCGCTTCATTGGGCTGCATATAATGGCCACGAAGAGATCGTTCGTATTCTAAGCGAAAAAAAGGGATCGCTCGATGCCGTCAACAATATGGGACGTACCGCGTTACATCTGGCAACTATTCAATCTCAATTTGCCGTGGTTGACTGCTTACAACGGAAAGGAATGCAACTTGATAAAAGATGCAATACAGGCCTCACTGCACTTCATTATGCGTGCATGGCTGATAGCTTTGAGATAACGAGGCTTCTCCTTATGACAGGTGCCGACGTGGAAGCGTCCGAAAGCCAGCACCAGCAGCGGCCCTTGCATATTGCCGCTGCTCGCGGCTCGGTGCCTATCCTAGAGCTTCTTTGCGAGAGGGGTGCTGCACTTGATGCTCGGAACGGCGTTGGAGACCGTCCTGCATGTGTAGCGAGTCGCTTTGGCCACGTGGGTGCGGTGCAAAAGCTTCTGGACCGAGGGTCTCCGGTCTGTCTGAAGTTTGAGACAGGTTTCCGTGAAGACTCGCTGCTTTGCCTGGCTGCTTTAGGCGGCCACTGGGCTGTTGCGTCTTTGTTACTGGCTCGGGGTGCATCGATCGTAAAGAAGGATGAAACAGGCTGGACGCCGGTCCGTTATGCGGCCCACTACGGGCATACGAGTATTCTGCAATTATTCTTGTCAAGTAACAAGATCCCACATGCTAATTTACCAGAGATCATCCAACTACCTCAGACCATTGGATTTGCACCTGTGGTTTCTACGGAGAAGAAGGTCGAGGTACAACAGCTTCTCGGACAATTCTCGAAATATCCAGCTCCAGCTCCAGCCCCAGCCTCAACGCAAGGGCCAATACCGGGTCCAATTTCTGTACAAGGACCGGTGCCCAGACCGCCACCTGCTCTGATTACAGAGCCGGCACCTTCACGACGCGAGCAAGCTGGCATTTCAATGTCAACCGCGTACGCATCCCCGGCTCCCTTCGCCAGTGAAGCTGGCAGCACCGCGATCTATGAACTTCCAGGAAGCCTGGACCGAGGACCAGAGCCAGCAGAAGGGAATCATTCAACCCCTTCAGAACATTTGCAAGGCAATATGAACTCAGTGGAACCGACTACAGCTATAGTCGGGCAACGGGTACTCACCCCGGAAATGAGACACCCAGAACCAACACAGGCTGTAGCCGGTGGTCGCATCGCTGCACTCCTACACAGCGCTGATGGTTTGTCAACTTCAGCTCCAAAGGGCTCATCTACATCTGCATCTGCATCTACATCTACATCTGTGTCCGGCCCGAGTCAATCTCGAGACCACGAGGCCCCACGAGTATCGGCTACGTATACGCCTGTGTCATTTATCTATAGCCCAACACCTTCGCCTCCAGTCCGATCTTACGCTATCCCACATCGTGGAAGGAACAGTGTTCTTATAACGCCCCCTCTGGCTGAACAATCGGCCGAGGCGGCTCGGGTGCCGAGGTCTATTCCTCCATATGAGGATACTGTTCCTCGGATTGAGTCTACGACGAGGAAGAGGAGCAGGGTGGCGACTCGGACTCGGACTCGGACTCCATATCTTCTGTTTATACGGCACCGGAGGGAGATGAAAACGCAGATGTGTCTATCTCAAATACTGCGCAGGAAATATCGGTCCAGAAACGTTCATGAACCAGCTTGAACTTGAAGGAAACCAGATGAAATGGATCTTACTAGTATAGGAACTGGAAAATGCAATTGATATCTAGAAACACATTCAATGCTTTTGTTATGTGTACATATACAGATCCGCCCAATCAAAAAATCCACAAACTTTCACGCTGCAAGTTGCGTCTATAGTATAAGTAAAGTATAGTATAGAATGACCAAAAAAGCTCGGGTATCACGGGTCAAAAACGCCAAATATAAATCGAAACGAGCCTCAATTATCAATTATCCAAAGAAGAAAAAGATAAAAGATCAGACTCAGGCCTCGATGGCGTTCTTAACCCACTTCTCCAGTCCTCCCTTGGCAATGATCTCCTGCACGTTGGCGGGGAGCTCACCGACCTTGTGAGTCCACTTGGCACCACCCTCACCCTCCTGCACCTCGATCTGGCTGCGGCGAACGTCCCAGGTAAGGGTCCAGCCGGTGCGGCGAGTGAGAGCCTTGCCTTCGGCGGCGTAGTGCTCGCGGAGACGGGCGATTAGACGGGGCACTTCGAGACCCATCAGGGCGTTGTTGATGCTGTTTCGGGAGAAGATGTTGCCGAAGCTGCCGGAGACGACAAGGGGGATTTTCTTGGCGAGAATGGCGGTAGCGGCCTGCTCGCGAGAGCTACCGCAGCCGAAGTTGAAGCCGGAGACGAGGATGTCGCCCTGCTTGGCGAGGTGGGCGAAGTCGGTGTCATAGTTGGACATGCAGACCTCTGCCATGGTCTCCTCTGAGACGTTGTCCTGGTAGGTATACTTGCCCGGGTAGATACCGTCAGTGTTGATGTTGTCGGCGTCGCAAAAAACGATCTCGCCGGAGATGCTTTCGGGGAAGCCGGGGTACAGCTCGGTCAGAGCATCATCGGAGGCGGTCTCGGCCTCGGCCTCGGTGGAAGAAGGCTCGGGGGCAAACTTCTTCTCGCCGTCGGCAATCAGGTCGTCCATCTGGCCGAGGATCTTCTCCAGAGCCTCCTCGTTGGTGAGCATGCGGTCCTCTTCGCGGATACCGTCGCCCTCGCCGCGGATCACGCCAGCGTAGTTCTCGGGGGTCTTGTACCAGCCAGGGCCAGACAGCTTTCCGCTCAGAGCAGATGCAGCAACGACCTCGGGGCTGCCGAGATAGGCCTTGGCATCGGGGCTACCCATGCGACCCTTGAAGTTACGGTTGGAAGCACTGATGCCAACTTCGCCAGGCTCAAGAAGACCAGTACCCAGCCCGATGCAAGGACCGCAGCCGGCGGGAAGAACAGTTGCGCCGGCGTCAATCAGGATCTGCCAGTCACCAGCGCCCTCAGCAGCAAGCTGCTCAGGGATAGAAGCAGCACCGATGTAAAATTCGACACCGTCGGCGATTTTGGGGACCTGACCACCGTTCTTCTCGGCAGCCTCCTTGAAGACACGAGCCGCGGCAGCGATATCCGAGGCACGCGAGTTTGTGCAAGAGACAAGGTAAGCCTTGTTCACCTTGATATCAGCGGCCTCGAGCTCGCCCAGAGGAGTGGCAACCTTGACGGAGTTGGGGCCAGAGACGTAAGGAGAAAGCGAGGCAAGGTCAAGATAGAGCTCCTTGGCGTATTTGGCACCCTTATCGGCAGCCAGAGGGTTGGCGAACAGCTTGTCGATGGCCTCGTGGGTGAAGCGTTGTGAGGCCAATGTCTTGTAAGATCCATCTCCATCGGCCAGGCCCATGGCACCAAGGGTGGCCTTGCCCTTCATCCAACCCTTGAGCACATCATCCATAGGGAAAAGCCCGGACAAAGCACCCCATTCGGTGGTCATGTTGGCGATAGTCAATCGGTCGTCAACGGAAAGACTGCGCATGGTCTCTTCGGAGCCAGTGAACTCAATGGTGTGGTTCAGCACATCGTCCTTGTCGAACAGGCCGCAGAGAGCAACGATCACGTCCTTGCCGGTAACGCCGGGAGGCAGAACACCGGTCAAGTTGACCTTGGCTCCCGCAGGCAACTGCCACCAAGTGCGTCCACTCGCCCAGCAGCTTGCGGCGTCTGTCCGCACGATAGGAGTACCCAGGCAGGAGACACCACCGTACATGTTGCTGTGAGAGTCGGACGCGACGCAAAGAGTTCCAGGCCATGCGAAACCTTCCTCGATCATAACCTGGTGACCAATACCACGACCGGCAGGGTAGAACTCGACTCCGTGGAGCTTGGCGAAATCCTCAATTTGCTGGTATTTCTGGAGGTTCTTCTCGGTCTTGTTCTGGACGTCGTGGTCGAGGGTCATGACGATTTGGTTTGGGTCGTGGATCTTCGAGGCGCCAATGGACATGAACTTCAAGGCGACGGGCCACGAGTTGTCGTGGGTCATGACACGGTGCGGAGAGATTGTCACATAGTCACCGGCCTTGACAAATTTGTCCTTGGCGAGGCCGACGGCGTACTGCTGGACGATCTTCTCAGTGAGGGTCTGAGGCACAGCCTTAGAGGTCTGCAGGGAGGAGAATAGCGCGGCAGCGGCGGGGTCGTCGAGCTGGGAGTTGAAAGCAGTCTGCAGGAAGACTCGCGAAGTCATGAAAGTGCGGCGAAGGGTGCTGGGAACGCGGAGGCGGCCCAGCATGGCCCTTTGGCCGGAGACGGAGGGCATCAATCGGGACTGCATGAGAGTATATTGATTAGCAAGTGAGTCCGGAATTGATGAGGGGAAATGCATACAGTCATGGTGCCACCAAGAACCGAGAACCCTTAAAGGACAAGAAAGTAGTGAACTTGAACGGGCAGTTCGGAGTTCCTTCAATGTTCCTGGGAGAAAAACGACCACCGAATGGACGGCCGGCTATTTGGACAAATGACTCATCTGCCTGCTGATTGGTCAATTGGAAGAGGCAAAAGGGACAAACAAATTAAACAAATCAAACAAGTCACGTCATCCGACACGTGATACATACATAATCCGCCGATGTCGGCTGAACACACGAGAATATCCAACATTCTTATAACAGAGAATACTTGAGAGTATCTCTAGTTTTTAAGGATTCAAATACTATAGAGCACTCGACAATTCCTATTGTACTTAAGTATATAGTTTCACTGTGGAAAATACAGGGGCATTTGTGGCTATTAGTTAGTATGTTAACTGTTCTACATAGTGTAGATCACAACCCCGCCGTCATTGATCAGGGTCCCCATTTTTAGGTCATAATTATACAAATACTTTAACTGGCAGCTAATAGGAGTAGATTGTCAATACTCAATCAATCAATTCACCTATTCCTAATTCTGGGGTATCAATTTTCCAGCAATGGAACCTGTTGTATGCAACTTGATCTACAATCTGCAGCCTTGACTCATACCCCGCCATTGCCGCCAAATTTCATTTCCAGTTGAGAATAACCTTGGCTTAATAGAAAAGAACCCGGTGAATGGACTAGGACACTTAACCGGATAAGTCTTCTAGCAGGCCCTTAAATTGACTCAATTGCTGCATTCACGATGACTCCAAGGTTAATCTGATCCACCAAGGTGCGATCTCCACTCTTGAGCTTTTTCCCTCCCGCTTCAAGTTCTTATTCAACTTTCTTTTCTTTTTTCCCCCCTTCACCTCCCAATCCTCGATCATTATTCCAAAATGCCTTCTCGACAAGAAGTTGCCTACTTTGGAGCCGGCCCCGCTCCCCTCCCGACCTCAGTCGTCGAGGCCGGCGGCAAGGCCTTCGTGAACTACAACGACTGCGGCCTCGGACTAGGCGAGATCTCGCACCGCTCTCCTACCGCTAACAAGATCCTCGCTGACGCCAAAACAAACCTCTCCACCCTCCTCGATATCCCGGACAACTATGAGATCCTCTTCATGCAAGGAGGCGGAAGCGGTGGCTTCAGCGCCGTCGTGCAAAACCTCGTCTCCGTCTGGATCGAGCGCCGACGCCGTCGCGCCGAGGCCGATATCCTCAAGGCCAACCCCGGTGCTGAGAAGGAGCAGGTCGATGAGCAAGTCTTCCAGAGACTGGCGAAGGAAGTGGACGAGGAACTGAAGCTTGATTACCTTGTTACGGGATCCTGGTCGCTCAAGGCTTCGCAGGAAGCGGCTCGTCTTGTCGGGTCCAAGTATGTCAACGTTGCTCTTGATGCGCGCAAGGCCAATAATGGAAAGTTCGGCAAGATCCCGGCTGAGGATTCCTGGTCCTTGACTCCCACCAAGCGTGAGGGTGGTAAGGGTTCTGCCTTCGTCTACTTCTGTGACAACGAGACGGTTGATGGTGTCGAGTTCCAGAGCTTCCCCAAGTCTCTCGAGGCGCAGGGTCAGGAGGAGGAGGATGAGCGTCTTGTCATTGCCGATATGAGCTCCAACTTTATCAGCCGCAAGGTTGATGTTAGCAAATATGCTGTCATTTTCGTACGTGCATTAGGCGATTATTCGCGTCTATCGGGGGAAACATTACATCTTACTAACTCGTTCAATAGGGCGGCGCCCAAAAGAATATCGGTGTTACTGGTATCACCATTGCCATTGTCCGCAAGGACCTGCTCCCCCCTCAGACCGCGACTCCTCCCCCCGCACTCCTGCACCGTCTGAATACCGGTGGTCTCCCCGGCTCCGTCGTCCTGGACTACGCCACCATCGCCAAGAACAACTCTCTCTACAACACCCTCCCCATCTTCAACCTCTGGATCGCAGGCCAAGTCATGGCCGACCTTGTCTCCGAGTTCGGCGCTCAGAAGGTCAGCGGACAAGAGCAGGTCGCCGACAAGAAGGCGCATCTCATCTACAGCGCTCTGGACAAGTACCCCGAAGCGTACCAGGTGGTGCCGGACAAGAGCGTCCGCAGCCGCATGAACATCTGCTTCCGCGTCTACAGCGGCGACGAGGCGAAGGAGAAGGAGTTCCTTGCTGGTGCTGAGAAGCTTCTTCTTCAGGGACTTAAGGGTCACCGTAGTGTTGGCGGTATGCGCGCTAGCAACTATAACGCTGTTCCGCTGGAGAATGTGCAGAAGTTGGTGCAGTATCTCGAGGATTTTGCTACTGCACAGTAGACTTGTCCGAGTCCTTGAGGCAAAATAGCCGCTTTTTTTTGTTTTTGTTGACCGTTAGCGAATTCAACCTGGGGGTCAAGAAGTTTTTGAGAGAAGTCAGTGAGTGACTAGGGATATCGATATCCGAACTCCCTACTAGTTGCACTATTCAACATAACCTTATGGTACGAGATTAATGATATATGCTACTATATTATCCATGGATATATACACCGGATTTTGTCGGGTGGGGCTTTCCTGTCTGCCAGGCTGCCGCTTTAATAAGGGCGATTAGGCTCAGACTCGAGTAAGTGTCAGCACACGCTCATGCTCAGTGATTTACTCACTAGTAGGACTTATGGTCCAATCAGTGAGCGGTAATTCTTTTCCCACCAAGTCAGACTATATCCAAAAGGACATGCCTCACAGGTTCATCTAGTATTCTGTGATTATGCTCCTACTGGCTGCCCTATGTCTCTGCCTCTGCCTCTGCCTCTCCCAGGGCCGGATATGAGCTGCGCTATCCCCTGCCACCTATTTCTTGTCTCCTCCAACAACTCTCGTGGAGTTTTACCTTGCGCATTTGGTTGGTTCATCAACATAGCGGCATCTTCCCCAGCAGCATTGTTCAGAGCAAGCATAATCTCATCTTGAAGTCTGATCTTGTTCGCGGTTGTCACTTCCGTATCTCTCCCATCACGGCGTACATGATCATTCAAAACCCCTCGCGCTGCCGCATGGAAGGGCGTTTCGCGAAGAGCGTTTCGAGCTCTGAAATCCGCTCCATGCTCAAGTAAGAACTTTGCCGCTGAGACCTGTCGCAGATTCTGAGTAAAGACGTGCAATGCTGTTTTCCCGTTGTTCTCGGTATGGTTGATATTGGCACCGTGTGACAAGATTGATTCTAGGAGCGTGGTGTTGATGGGGTCGCCTTGATGGGAGTGGTACCCTAGTAGATGCAGGATAGTACGGCCCGAGCCATCTGGGATCCGAGGGTCGGCCTTGTATTCTAGTAAAATGCGGATAGCAAGGTCAGCATGCTGGGTGCAACCGCATCTAACGTGGCTTCTGGCAGCATAGTGCAGGGGTGTGGATCCGTTTTTGTCAATAAGGTTGATACCAGTAGAATTGTGGTCGAGGAGTAGCTGAAGGGTTTCTGTGATTTTGAGCTGCTTGTCCAGGAGTCTGCAATTGGACTCGGCACTGCCGCTAGCTGCCCAGTGTAATGGCAACCGCCCATCACTGTCACATGAGGAAGTCAGGTCAGGGTTGCCGTTGGCCTTGTGGTTTTGATGATTCAAGAGCACTTTAACAGCATCAGAGTTATGGAAGAAGCTTGCCAGATGGAGCGTAGTCACATCATGTGTGCGAGTGTCTGTGGTACTGGACTGAAGTGGTACTCTGGGGTGATGAAGATGTTGATGTTTGAGATAGATATCGGCACCGGAATCAACAAGCCGTTGAATTAATGGACCAGTACCCGTTGACACAGCAAGTCCAATCACACTGTCTTGAACCTGATTTCCCCAAGGGTAAAGATCATTTGGCAAAGGAGGACTGACATCTGTCGCTGAACAGCCCCGGTCGAGAAGAAAATTGATCAACTGATGGCTTCGCGTAATCCGATTCCGAATCCACTCATTCCGATCAAGGCACTCCTCATCCTCCACTTCGTCGGCGTCTTCATCGAGATCATGATATATCAGCGATCCCGCAGCGGCGAGAATCGGCGTATCTCCGGAGTCATCATCTCTCTGATGCAAATCTACCGATCCGAGCGGTAACAGATTCTCTGGATCGTCATGGCTGTCCAAGATGAAACGCACGACGTCAATATTTGCTGCACCACATGCGTCGAGCAGCAGGCGGAACTTGGGATTGAGCTTTTTGACGATTTCCGGGGCTGCGGTATACACCCCCAAGAGGATGCAGAGAGCCTCGGGGCTACCGTAAGAGGCTGCATTGAACAAGGTGTCTTCCAAGTAGGTTGTCCCAGGGGCAATCACATCCTCGGGAGAGCACGAGGCAATAAAACGACGGAGGAGAGAAATATCATTTTGCTTGATGATGCTCACAAGGCGTTTTCTGCGTCTGCCGATGATTTGAGAGGGGGATTCTGGAAGCTCTAACTGGCTCGAGGTAGGAGAATTGCTTTCTGCCATGAGAGCGAAATTAATCAGATACCTACAATCTGTCTGCAAAGAGAAAGATCGCCAGTTAGTGGCAACTTTACGGAGCTGACTCTTGTACAGCGGTCAAGCTAGCGTGTCGCGTTTTGATGAGCCCGTTGACGGAGACTACTGTAGATATAATGATTATTGATTATTGTGATCTAGTATAGGACAGTAGAACAGATCATCCGAAGATAATAATGATAATAAGACAGCGGGGAGAAAAGAAAATTCGAATGCACTTGGCAAGCCACCGTCATCACATCGTATGCCAACGGCGCGCCCAGGGTAATTCTAGAGCAACGCGTGAAGACATTTGAGCACGTTGCTCACACCATACATCCGGTTTTATATGCATGGGTATCAATCATCAGACTAAACAAAGAAATAGAGATAGCAACGGGTCACGGTCATGGAACAGTCACGCAACGGTCATTGGAATCCATCCTCTACCGAGAGCGCGACTTCCAGAACTTCCATGAAATCCCAGTTCGACCATCTCGCTGATATATGCGCCAGTAATAAACAGGGACGCCGGTGATGATGAATGCAACAACAATGAGGGTTTGAAGAGGTTCGGCGATGACAGCACGGCTGAGTAGAAACAGGCTAACACAGCAGAAGATAATAGGAGTTGTAATCCAGGTTCGGTATGGACGCTCGAGATGCGGTTCGCGAATGCGGAGAACGATCAAGCCGAGAACGGTGACGAAGTAAAATGTGTATCCGGCCACACCGTAGAAAGTAACCAGTGTAGCGAACTCACCAACAGCAATGTATGCGGCGGTCAACGTTGCATTGAATGCCATTGCGTAAATAGGCGTGAACCCAAGCCGGGATTCGTCGCCAAGCAGACGCGAAATGGATTTCCGGGCCCAGGAACGACGGCGAAGACGAGTGCCTGCGGCGGGGGTTGGCGAGGAAGAGTTGCCCAATCCAATGCGTCCGAATAATGATGGGAGATATCCCTCCTTTCCGGCTGCATAGACAAGTCGACCGCTAGTGAAGGTAGTTGCATTGAGAGCTCCGAAGCAGCTGGCTCCCACAACCAGTGCGAGGACAACAGCGCCAACGGGGCCGAAGACTTTGCCGCCAAATTGAACGGCAACTGTGTTGCTGGCCTCGATTGTATCATGCGGCAAAACGAGGAAGTAGGCAACGTTGGCCATCAGATAACAAAGAATGACCAAGGGCATAGCGGTATGGATCACACGCGGCAAATCGCGGTTCGGGTTCTTGAACTCGCCAGTCACGTAGTTCGTCTGAGAGAAAGCATTAGAAACGGTATCTAGAATAAAAGAATCGGCCACACTTACATTGTCCCAGCCGTCAAATGCCCATAGTCCTGCATACAACGCTACAGCAAAGTCCGATATTTCTGTATTGGTCCCTGCGAACCAACTTGTGTTTTTCCACTCGTCGCTGGCGCTTCCTTTCGACGAATAACCAGTGATCGCCACCACAATTCCAGTGACAGTGACACCAAGCAAAGCGACAAACTTGAAGAACATGAAAAGATCTCCAATACGGGTCGCAATCTTGGTGGAGATACAGTTGAACAGAGTCACCGCAACCAGACCGCCGAGAGCAACACCCTTGTTGATCCACGGGCTGACATGTTCCACATCAGCACCAACGAATGCGCGGACGACATATTCCCCAAAGATAATTGAAATAATGGCCGCCGAACCGGGCTTCAGCACCAAAACGGCACACCAGGTGAAAAGGAAACCCGGAAGTTCACCGAAGATCTTTGAAAGATAGACCTGGGCTCCGCCATTGAGTGGGATCGCGCCTCCCAGCTCCGCATAGCTCGCAGCTCCCGTCCACGCTAGCAAACCCGCCACCGCCCAAATGATGAGTGATGCGCCTGGCGAGCCTGCATTCGCGTTGACCTGGCTTGGCGAGGAGAAGATTCCAGAGCCGATAATCAGACCGACAATTAGGGAGAGGCCGTTTAGGTATGTCAACGTCTTGTTCCGTTCCAAGGATCCATCCTGTCCCTCGCGATCTAGTGTCGTGGATGCGCCGAGAGGAGCGTACCCGCCTTGTGTTTGCGATAATGGGAAAAGGTTGCGTCCGAAGTCGAAGGCAGAGGATACGGAATAGCCTCTTTGGCGACCGGCTTCGAGGTAGACATCTCCTTGGTCATCGGCGAGTGGATCTTCGTCTTCGAGAGATAGCTTGCGCGAGGACGAGATTCCATCGGGGGAGGAGGATCGCGAAGAACCGGCGACGGATACGGGTGAGGATGAGGCGAGAGATGCGAGTTCTAATGAGTCTCGTGGCGCGGCGAGGCCATTTCTGTCGTGTGAGAATCCCGGATTCGACATTTCTTTTTTGGTTGTTAAACCCGGGGGTGGGTGGTGGGAGGTGGGAGGTGGAAGAGAGAGAGAGAGCTCGATTCGAGGGAGGGTTAGGAGATGTTGGCAAAACTCTCCATTTCCCAGCGATCGAGGTATGTAAGAGGGCGAAAGTGGAGGAAAGGGAGAAGTTAAGAAAGGAAGATCGGTGGAGAGAGGCAAAGGGACCAGGCGAAGGCGAAGTTTGCCAAGGGGTGATTTGATTGCTTGAGTCGAAGAAGTGTCGATCGCCCAATCGGCTTTACCCTCTTGCAACTCCCAATTTCCCCGCGGTTTTCCCAACTTAAAACTCGGAGAATGCGATGAACCCACGACGGTTCAAAGACCGTACTCTATGAATTCCTCTCTTTCATCTTTATGCTGCCGTAGGTCGGCACTGCGGCAGCCGGTGGCTCAATATCGCCGTTATGCCTCTTCCTCGACTGCCTCGAAAGCCGCACCTCCGTCTCCGAAAAATCGCTGGGTAGGCATTGCCATTGTGACGATTGCTGCTGGTAGCACTGGCGCATATCTACGATCGCAAAGCCCATCGTCCGATACCCTTAATCCAGACACTTTCACCAAATATAGCCTCGTGTCAAGAGAGCCGGTCTCGTCGACAAGCAGCCTTTTCACCCTCCGCCCCCGATACCATAGCGATCGCAACTACGATGTCTACGAGGATGCCTGGAGGACAGGGGTGTGGAGTGTGATGTTCAAGCAGCCTCAACTACAGATCGGACGAGACTATACACCCCTCCCAGCGACAGCAGCAACACCGTTGACCGTGGACGAGGAGAATGAAGGCTATCTGCGTTTCTTTATTCGCAAAGATCCGTTTGGAGAGGTTTCGCGATACCTGCATACCCTTAGCATAGGCGCTGATATCGAGATGCGAGGACCGCAGATCGAGTGCGCCATCCCGAAGGAAACTCAAGAAGTTTTGTTCATTGCTGGCGGGACAGGGATTGCCCCGGCGTTGCAGGCTGGATATTCTCTGCTGAACCGCACAACCGAAGAGAACAGACCGCGGATACACATATTCTGGGCCAACCGGTTGAAAGAAGATTGTATCGGGGGTCACAGCGATACACCTGTACTTGTAACGGCCCGTCGGTCCTGGTTCTCAGGATGGTTTGGTTCGTCTAAAACCACAACCTCGAACGACCAGACAGTGTTTCACTCCTTGGAAGAGAAGAATACGTCTATGATTGTGCGAGAGCTGGATGGTCTCAAGTCTCAATATCCAGGTCAGGTCACCGTCGACTATTATATCGACGAGGAAAACCGATTTATTAGCAAAAAGGAGATTTCTGACTATATTGAATCTACACCACGGCCTTTGGACAATGTTCCTGGAAGGAAATTAATATTGGTTTCCGGACCCGAAGGCTTTATCAGCTATATGGTTGGACCAAAGATTTGGGCGGATGGCAAGGAGCTACAAGGTCCCCTTCGAGGAATCATCAAAGAGCTCGATCTCAAAGGATGGGCTGTGTGGAAACTCTGACCGGTCCATTCCATTGTTCTGTATAATATTTATCCTCTTGGCTGCATATAGCGACTCGCATGAATTGGGGTTCAAGCAAATAATACCAATCATGATCAAACACTTTGGTTTATTTCTTTAAATAATTATGAGACTATGGTTGCTAATGTGTATTAATTTAGATTATTTAAACTATTGTGAGCTTGCTTCAAGCCCATCCCAAGCTTGAGCTTTATGGAGGATCGCTGGCTCGCCAGATTGGAAATTCATTGCCTCGGCAAAGAATCTGATGCCGAAGCATTTCTCTGCGTGGTGGTAGATGCGAGTTGTAATTACTGTCCTCTCATTCACAAAGACCTCGAGTACACTCTTATCGAAGAACGCGTGCACGCGGAGCGTCTCTTCGACATCATCACCATGCTCATTGCGCAAGGTGAAAAGTGTATGAGGTGCCGACTCATCTCCATGGTTGATCTCCGTGTTCGTTACTGGAGGTCGGCGGATCGTAAATGTTTCACTGCACGGGTCCCAAGCAAGGATTGTGCGATGTTCAAAGCCTAACATGACCATATTAGTATCTAGAACCTAGGAGGTTGTATACAAGGTTGGTTACTCACTGGCATCGTGTCCAATCTCGACACCAACTCTCTTGCAAGATTTTCCGACAGAGAATTCAGTCTGAAGTTCCCAGCGAGAAGTCGACAGAGAAATCCCAGCTTCAGAGGCTGCACTGAGAGTTGCAGGTAAAGACACCCCAGTAAGTGGGCGCTCGATAGCACCAACGCGTAGCTCAGAAAGTCGCGATTCCGGGCTGATTCCTAACGTATGAATAGTGAAAGTGCCGTGCTCGGAAGAATCGGCAATCGCCTCGATGGAGGTAATCGTTTCCAGCGGTGAGCTGCGTGCTCCTCTCACATTGCGCAATGTCATCATTCGCACTGCACGAGGCAGCGATATCATACTGCTCCAACCCTGGCGATGACGAGGGCCATCAGGCAGATCCTCTTCTGTGATCCAACCAAAGACGATGCGCTGAGAGGTCTGCGGATCACATAATGAATTGGCAGCATACAAGCACCCGTGATCAAAATATCCAGAAAAGGCATAATCGGATAGTGGCTCGTCAATCGAGTTGTGTTCTTTGCGCGCTCTCACAGACATCCACATCTGGCCCCGAGGATCTCTTTTAAAACGAGCCAGACGGCGCGTCTGCTCGCTCGGATTTTCGGGGCGCAGACACCCCTCAACTCCCATGATGACGAAATCTCGTTCGTCGCCCGAGTCGTTGGCCAGTGTCAGCAAATTTGATACCTCCCAATTGACGCCAAAATCACCGGACCAGCGTGATGGCCGGAAATTGCGACCAACATCCACCAATGGGCCGAGGTATTCCCACTGACGGAGATCTTGGGCGTTGACTTTATAAACAAAGATAGTCGGGGCTTTGCCTACAACTCCACCGGCTGTTATTCCATAAAATTTCGAATTCTCATCGCTCGGAGCATCTCGGCATCCTCGTTTCCAGGTTGTGAGGTAAGGATCTCGCCATCCTGTTACTGAGAGGTGCTTAGGTGGCCCAGAGATGACAGGATTGCAATCCTGGCGCTGCCACGTCTTTCCACCATCTTCTGATACAGAAAGACTGATTGATTCACAGCCATATGTATACGGTAATGTGAAATGAATCGGTAGGTGACTGACTGACGAATATATGATGGTCATCTTTCCAGGCTTGCCAAAAACATCGGTAGGCTGTAGACATCCGGTAAACACGCCTCGGCAATCATATTCAGCGGACGGTGTCATAGCTGGCTCTGGGGATGTTTCCCATGATACGAGATTCCTTGAAGTGGCATGTCCCCATGACATGTTGCCCCAGTCATTGCCCCATGGATTCCATTGAAAGAAAAGATGGTATATTCCGGTGGTTGGGTCGTAACCTAGACCGCAGGGATCATTTATCCAGCCATGCGGAGCGGTCACATGAAAAAATGGTTTCGAAGTAGTGGGCTTTGCTAGAATTGGGTTGGATGCATCGACATGTTCTGAAGGGCACAGGCGCTGCTCCTGCAGACCAGTAGCCACATCCGATGAATCAGGAAGAACAGACATGTCAAGCCTCTCGAGTTTATTTGGGAAAGAGCCGGATCACAGTGTGGTGATTTAATCGCAAACTTGATCGCAGGGTTGTAAGCAGGGTCCTTGGCAAAGCGGATCAAGCCCTTGAGAAATTAAATGCGATCGACTTGATCTCTTCACAAAGGATTGGGCAAGAGGATGCTCTCCGGAGAAATAATTGCAAGGATTCGTATATACCAATAGTAATCTGCACGATTTGACCGAGACTTTCCCTCGAGAATGTTTTTCCACGAGCAGGAGAGGATGGGATTTGCTCAGTCCGGGACTTGGTCGGAGGCTTGCTCGGCAGATGTCGACTGAGACGGAGGATCGTCGGCGAAACTCAGGTTGCCCCGTCAAAGCAATGTTACCCCATATCTTATGTATGCATATGAGCTCTTTTAACAGATTCTCATTGGATCTTACTATTCACGGAGGATCTGGGGCAATTGAGAATGTAGGTATTGGAAATATCAAATGCTTTGGCAGAATACTAATGGCCTTCCCGCAACTAGCTTTAAAAAGTGCCAGTGACACATCGGATTCCGAAAAGGCTTACTGCAAAGTCGTCTTTAACGTGGTTAGGAACTATCCAGTTAAATAAAATCATACATAAAGTTTTCTGAATGATCAAGGTATCAACATGCATGAACCGTGATTTCGGTCCAACTTCGTGCCGCGGGAGCCACTACAAGTTTTGACTGGCAGAAAAAGTTTACAGCCAGTTAGGTGCATCAATCTAGTTCTAGCTTGATTTGTAAAAACAGAAAAGATATGATGGAAAATAATTGCCAGATTCCAAACTTTGGTGTTGCATAGCCTATTCTGCATGTATTGCGACTATTGGCTATAGTGGGATTTCCACCTCGTCGATGTCCGGGCCGTATCCAGTATTATATCCCTCGATGACAACCGTATTGGTCTTTCCTGCCTTAAGTTGAGTATTGATAACACTTCTCTTGACATTGCCTCCACTTGCTAAGAAAGCGACCTTTTGAGCGGGAGAGTCATTGAATGTGACATTAGCATACCGCGTTCCCGAGTCACCATTTCTATACTCAAACGTGATTGTAGTTGCTGCGGAATCACTGGCTTGAATGCCACTCAACGTGACGCTTCCGTCACTTGGCCCGCCAATATAACCAGCTGCGTAGCCCCCAGAGCAACCAGTACAGCTGATATCCTTCGCTGCCCCGGCATAGGTGCCACTTTCTCCCTGGACTGTTGTATTGGATAGAGATGTCTGGAATCCAGATGAGGATCCAAGATTTGGAGCCCATTGATCGTACCACTTCATAGTAACATTCGTGCCCGAAATTTGGAGTGGTAACCAGACGTACGTGCTTGTCATAAGATCCGTGCTTACCCAACGATCTCCCATGTACATGACCCGATTTTCATCGATGGAGAGCACATAGTTTGTCTGAGAGGAGAAGGTTTTGCTGCCGACGGGTGCAAATGTTTGCCAATCTGTCCACCCACTTCCGAGAGACTTTGATGTAGAATAGACGTTGTCATTGTCTGACCAGCCTGACAGATGCGACCCAAAGAGGTAGTAGAGACCGTCACGTTTCACAAGTGCTGGCGCTTCGATATTTCCTGGGGTCGGAAACAGATACGTCTCAGAGGATACATTATGGTAGTCAGCTGTCAATTTGTAGATGTGAAGTCCTTTTGGGCGCTAGTGTCATGGAATAATCAACTATTAGCGAGGATTTACCATCATCATGGGAACAGAGAATTCATACGTCCTCGGAGATAAGATATCCGGATCCGTCGTCGTCTTTGAACAGAGTCATATCTCTACTAGTATTTCCCATCGGCTGGAAGCTACCCAGATAGTCTAGATATCTCTTTCAGCTCTTTTCATTGGACGATGTTGAAACAGTTAGTCACTCACTATATTTCCCACACACTGAGTCCCCCGTTGCCACACCCACTTTTGCCTCGCCATAGCTTGAACTGTCAATGTGGGCATAGAGCACATATTTCTTCGTGCTGTCGTTGTAGATGACCTTTGGCCGCTCCACAACTCGTTCAGGACCCAGATCGCCAGAAGCAGTTCGGCTCAAAAGGGCTCCGACATAATTCCATTGAACCAGATCGGACGATGAATAACAGTTGACGTTCTGGAAGTAAGTACCATTTGTTTTGTCCTCGCCGATCATGTAATAAATTCCATTTTCTTCGATGAATCCGGCACCATGGGCTTGTAGATGCTCCCCATTTGACTATATGAAAGGGTGGGCGTGTTACAACGAAGTACTTGAAGAATCCTCGTAATTAATGAACGACTCACAGCAGTCCATGTTGCGCCTGGTACAAGCTCTAGGGCAGCCAGTGTGGGGCTTGCCAAGGCACCTAGCAAGACGAAGAACAGATTCATGTTTGGAAATTTCATGAAGAAGTAATCCAAATTCAAATTCTGAAAGGCGTAGCAGATTGAAGAAAGGTCCAATACGGCGGGAAAATCATGATAGTTTATAAACAAGTCTTATTCAGATAACTAGCCCGAAACCCGGACTGGAGGTAAACAACACCGGAGAATTCCCTATTGAAGGTGCAGCTAATATTCAGGAACATGTTATGTTTCTGCATAATAGCCAATGAATTTACCTGTAGCTAGCGCCCGTGAATACTCCATTGCCAGTGTTCTCCGCAGATTTCCCCCACAGTGACGTGACATCCCACCATCAACTGTAACACTCCTCTGCCGATCAGATCCGAGTAGGTGCTGGTGTTAAATGGCGCCCAATCATCGTTTCATGCAGGAAACTATTCAGCGCAGGGGTTGTCTTGAATAAATTTTCTTGGCATGTTTTTGCTAAGAAAAGGAGTGGAACGCGGTGGATCTCTGACCGTGATATACTCCGGTAGCCCGATGGGTATTAGTACTCGTAGTTATAACTTTGAAGTTATAGTAAAGCTTATCACAAAATCTCAGAACCAGGATCAGTCGCACTTTTCAAGTTGCACCTTACCATGGGACACTCCGTTGACGTATCTGATAAGGGTATTTAATAGTTTATTATGTATTATTTTGCTTTATAGCTCACCGGGCGGTAATGATTCCGCAATTTACAAAAATGCCAAATCTCCAAGGCCTCGAGCTGGTTTTGTTCAGAGTCAAGATGTGAAGTTAGAAGACACGGCTAATATATTTCCGCTGGAGTACCATATTATCAACGATGTATTACTAGCTGACTCTCTCCTTCACACCATACACACACATCCCCGAAGAGGAAGCGGAGAGTAATGCGGTGAATAAGCTTATATTCCAGTGATTAGTCACCCGTTGTACCCCGTATTTTAGGAGAAGCCCCTACGATTCTCGGGAGGCGCCCCGATCATCCCATGCTTCTCCAGTTTCTCCATGGGGAAATCATCCACCCCGCTATGGCCCTGCGCAGACTGGGCACCCTGTATATAAATATCAATGCAGGAGGAGCCTCCTCTGCTCTCCAGAGCTTGCACTCCGGCCACTCTGTTTTCACACTGGGCTTGGTCTCTCCGTGCAGCCATGAATGTCGACAAGAATGACATCGCCTCCGCGGAGGTTGAGCATGTCGATCCACGGAGATCGGAGAAAGGTGCCGTCAACTTTCTCCTGGTCTTCTCTTGTATAGTATTCGGTGCAGCCTCGTTCATCTTCGGCTATGATGATAAGCTCATCTCGCCCCTTGCGGCATTAATCCCGTTTGTAAGTGCATTCTCAATTGACCGTTGCTATTCAATTCAGATGCTAACAGCGCCGTTAGGTCGCGAAATTCCAGGGACCCAATCCAGCAACCGGAAAATACGCTCTCACGGCCCACAATCAAGATCTTGTGTTCTCGATCCCCCCTAGTTGGCGCTGTATTCGGTGGACTGGTGGCCTCGCCATTGAATTTCCACCTTGGCCGCAAGTGGCCTGTGGTGGCGGCGTACATTATCTCAATAGGTGGAGGGCTCCTGCAGGTCTTCGCGCCTAACTTGGGGGCCTTTGTCGGCGGTCGTTCTGTGAATGGGTTTGCCATGGGCATAGCTCTGGCGACTGCTCCCCTTTATGTTTCTGAGGTACAGCTCTCCCAATCTCGATCTACATGGAAAAAATGGTACTAATCGTTAGTTAAGGTGGTACCGGTCGCTATAAGAGGTAGATGTGTCAGTTCAATAAACATTCTGAACCTTATAGCCGGTGTCGTAGGCACTGTCGTGGTCTGGGGCACAAACAAACTAGGTGGAAAATTGGCCTACCAAATTCCTCTTGCTGTGCAAAGTGCCGTGCCAGTCATTCTATTGGTCTTGACAATCCCTCTACCAGAGAGCCCAGAATGGCTTATCTCAAAAGGAAATGTGGAACAAGCTCGACATAATTTACGAAAACTCCGCGGCTTCAGCGACGAGAAAGTTGATGACGAAATTCAGCTCATAGAGCTTTGTGAAAGATACAATCGCGAACTTCAATCCGAGGTTAGATTTTGGCATATATTTAAACGAGAGCATCTCAAACGGACCATTGTGGCAGGCTCTTTCTTCTCCCTCAACCAAATATCGGGTGTTATTCTCTCGACTACTTACACAACCGTTTTCCTCACGGAACTGGGTGTTGCAGATGCCTTCACGTTGACTATCATTGCCTCATGTTGCACTTTGGCCGGTACAATTGCAGCACCGTTGGTGATCGACCGCGTGGGCCGACGCCCAACCGCCTTCACCGGTATGAGTATTCTGTTCGTGATCGACGTGGTCGCCGGCGCCCTCGCTTTTCAGAAAGGCAACAAGCAGGCGACAACCGCAATTGCGGCACTCTCCTTCATCTTCAATTTCTTCTGGGCATCGTCGTTCTTTTCCCTTTCAAATTTGATGCCTTCTGAAATCGCCACTCCAAAGCTCCGCCACTACACCATGTCTTATACTATCGCTTGCCAGGAAATAACTGCAGTCATCACCACCCTTGTTGTCCCGCATTTGACATCGGCGGATGCAGCAAATCTCGGCGCAAAGACATACCTCATTTTTGCTGGATGTATGGGCGCCATCCTTGTTTTCATGTACTTCTTCATGCCAGAAACACGTGGTCGCACTTTTGCTGAAATTGATGAGATGTACGCTGCAAATGTGCCGGCGTGGAGGTGGCGGTCTTACAAGACTTCTTTTGAAGCGAGGACTGGCGAGACAGCCCCGGACTCATTGGAGAAGATAAGAACTTGACCAATGGCCTTTGTGATGTATTTCACTCAGATGGACGTTTACGTCTTTGTTCTATAGAAATCTAAACTCATACTTTGACTCAAGAATCTGCCTGCCCCTCTGCCTAGATCTTGCTTTCACATCTTGATCACAACTTTGCCAATGTGTTGACCGGAGTACAGGTGATCGAAGGCTTTCTGCGGATCTTCGAACAAAAAAATCTTATCGTCGAGCAGAGGTTTCAGTGAAACCTTATGTTCAGCCAAATACTTGCACAGGTTATCCTGGTCGACTTTCGAGCCGACAAAGATCGCTCTGCGAAGGAAGATACATTAGCCTTGAAAACCAAGATTATCACCCGGGGTCATCTGCAAATTAACTTACTTGATGGTGGCAGTATTCAGAATCAAAGGCGTGAAAGCGTCGGGGTATCGATCCATCTGAAGTCCTCCCAAAATGCCAATTAGAGAGATGGTACCTCTTCGGACGAGTGAATGAAGACTTTGGAGAATAGTAGTAGGTCCTCCCGTTTCAATCACAATGTCGACTCCTCGATTCTTTGTCAGGCGCTTCACCTCATCTTCCCACTTCGGGTATGTCTTGTAGTTGATCGTTTCTATCGAACCGGGTGGCCCAAGGGCTTTGACTCTTTCTAGTTTCTCGTCGGAGGAGGACGTAATGATAACGTGAAGGCCGGCCGTCAAGCAAAGTAGCAAGGCAAATATACTCACACCTCCAGTGCCTAGATGCATCTGTGATCAGCACCTAAATACTCAATGTCCGACCGAGAGTAATTTACCTTGGAGAAGTACCGTGCCCTTCGCATTCGGCATATTCAAGCAGTTCCATGCGGTGGTCCCCGAGACAGTCACGCACGCGGCCTAAAATCGGTATCGACCGATTAGAAAGAAAAAGTTCATGCTTGAATTTCAGAAAAATAATAAACACTTACCTCTTCCCATGAAAGATGCTCTGGTAAATGCACGAGAACACTTTGGTCGAAAACAGCAAACTCGCGCAACACGCCATCGATATCTCCCCCCAGCGTTCTCTTCTCTATCTCAGTGCCCTCTAGAGCATTGAGATCGAAGATAGGAGCCACCCGATCTCCGATCTTGAAATCAGATACATTATCTCCGATCGCGAGGACCTCAGCGGCGCAATCGGACGCGGGGATTCCTCGCTCGAGGGCAAAGCTTGGGTATTTGCCATTGAGCATGGCTACATCTCGATAGTTGAGGGATACGGCTCGTATGCGAATCAATACTTCATCAGGGGTAAGCGACAAAGGAAGTTCTTCTGTTACGGGCTGGACGATGAGAGGGGCGTCTCCGGAGGTTCGGCGAAACGCCCTGTAGCTTCTGGGAACAGGAATTGACATATCTGCGTTAAATTCTTAGGTTGTTACCATTGAACCTGACATTGAGTCCTGTGCAGCCTAGATATATAGGCAGTTGGGATTTGGGACTAAAATCCTGTTGGATCGCATATCTTTTAGGCATTATTAAGAGCTGAATAATCCATATCCATTTTGAGCTCCTGGCATATCAAACAGCCCCCTTCTGGGCTAGTGGATCGTGTCATAATCTAACGGCTGCGGGGCAACTTAAATTCTGATTGAACCCTCGAAATGAAATAGAACTTGTGCCCGATTAAGGTCTCAAATATATCCTGTTGTTTGATCTGGCTAGAATAGAACTCCTAAGCCATTGGCATTATTATCTACCTAGGTAGGTATTGTGTTACTAGTAGTATTATACCGCGCCAACTTCCAAAAGTCAACTTCAAGAAATAATTGCCTGGGCAGGTGGTAACGCGTCTACTAGTTCCAAGATTAGTGTTCAGACTTTCAAGTATGTATACTCGGTAACTAGTCGCCATAGTACTACGCCTCATGTTCACTGACAGTCATCCTTTGCTGATTCTAAGGTTGCACTAGACAACTTTTTTCTCTACTCGACTTTTTTTGATGGAGACTTGGAATATCAATGACCATTTGTCTAGCGTGGACGGCTATACTGCAGATATTAAGTATACACAATCTCTTTTGAGAACACCCAGCCAAGTTATTGAGTGCCCGTCAAGATTCCTGAGTAGTTGGATGTTCAGAATTATGAAACTATGTATAAACTGAAAATAAGTGTAACTGAGAAAGAAAATATGACTCATGTAGGGCGCTCCCAAATGTAAAAAGCTACCATCATTATGCCAACTAGGCAAGCCAAGAAAATACGATCTTGGCTGGAATGAGAAAATAGTGCCTCCTTCTTATTGTGGCTGTCTTCTTCTTCGTCTCCAGCCCGCCCATAAGGTGAAAGCCTCCATCCGTTACGTGCCAATCGACGATGCATTCCTTTGCTAATAATCGATTCCAGGAAGCAGTGTTGAAAGTCAACATTTTCCAATGAAAGCACTTGAATCATCATTAACGATGCTACCGAATTATTGTGGCATCGAATGGAAGTGATGTATCTCTCCCGGTCTTTCAGGAGAGTAGAGCCTGGCGACATGTCGAGGCTCTGGAGTTGGAGAAAACAAGGGAAGCAGGCTGCCTGCTGGAAAGGTACCCTCGACGAAAATCCCCAATCAATTATGCTTCCATAGTAAGTACGTTCAAACCGGCTTATAAAAATCGGTACTTACCTAATGATATTGTGATATGCATCTATGAGAATATTCTGTGGTGATAAATCACCGTGGGCAATGGCGAAAAGTGCTTCATCAAGCTCGGGCAAAAGAACGTCGGAAAGAATCTTCATCTGTTCAGAGCAGTCCTGTTCAGTGATTTCTGGAAGAAGACCATCGCGAACCCGACGGGTCTTGTTTTTGATTATCCGGGTGAAATGCTTCAGAGAATAACCCCCTGGACTTGTAAGCAATATTTAGTTTGGACGAAAGACATTCAACATACGAGCCTGCTTGCTACATTCAATCAGGGATGTGTGCATCTTCGCAGCTTGATCTAAGATCTTATTCCGAAGAGGTTGCGTCGGAAAGCTATCGGACCATAAAAGCTGACTACCCGGAATCCATGTCAATGCGATAAAGGGGTATTTTATGGCATTGTCAAACATCAGACTGCGGCCCCGTAGCCTTGCGGCCCATGGAAATCCCTTCAATTCAAGTTCCTCGAGAATTTGAGCTTCGGACTCTAGAAGCTGTATAATAAGTTCCTGGGAATCATGACGGACAAAAAGAGGTACTTTTATTGCCCAAATCTCACCTTCCATGAACACTACCTTGAATACGCGCGACATTGACCACTATCAAAGTACTGATGCAACGTAGGGATTTGCCCATCGTTCCGAAGATGAGATATGGCAATAGGTATGTTGTTCTCGTAGAAAGACTCTTGCTGCATAATTGAAAAGCAAACGTGGTAAGCCCGAAATGTTCTGACCGTTAAGTAATTTATTGGGCGGTGTTTCAAAGGATAAATCGTGGCTGTTCTCGTGGCCGCTTTGCTATGCGGGCCGGCTCGGCCGAACCAACCTCAGCCGTCCAAATCCAAGGGATAATCGACATGCTAAGCTACGTATGTATCCTGCAAGATTTAAAACCATACACATGACCCTACTGGAGCAAAATATATGATACCATGTTAATTATATTCTATTCGCTTTTTGCGGTATCAAATTACCAGTACCTGGGCTGTCAGAGTCAACAATATTCCAAGCTTTCGAGAAAGGGCACTATCGCAATTTACCATTTCTTCTTTTAGCCATTGTACATATGTACCATATAACTACATAATGCCTGGCAACTCTTGGAGCACTCCTTGCATTCTATTGCTCACCCCTTCGCCGCTTTTGCTCACCGGGTACAGCCTTTGAGTACGGCTAAGGCCGACCTGAGCTGATCAGGATACCTAGGTATACTACTTCTCGATACTTAGCCACCGTCCTCTTTTAGGCTAGCAGATAGTATTTTAGCCTAACAGTTTACGGGGTAACTCTGATCACCCTTAGATGAAGACAACTTTCACACGTGCCTTCATGGTTCAATGACTATTTGACATAGGGTCACTCATTAAACCAAGGGTCATCAAGAACTTGTCTCGCTGACGCCCTTGCGGACGGCTCAAAACGCAATAATCTTTCGATGATTTGTCCCAGCCTCACTATGTCCTCTCGTGTGAGATCGGGACTCAGAGGGCCATCAAAATATACTTCTTCCAACCATTCCTGCAAGTTAGGCCCGACGGTTTCTGTGGCCATGACGTCCCCCGTGTTCATCGTATTCAATTGATCTTGCCATCTTTCAGGTAATTCATCAGTTGCCATCTCTCGCATTTGGCCAACAAGAATTCTGGGCGTTATTAAGAATGTGTCGAAAGGTGACTGGCCCGCGAACAGTTCAAAGAGCTGCCAACCCATTAGCTTGGGTTTTTATACATTATTCGAGTATCATTTCACCCACCATGCAGCCCATGCTCCACAAATCAACACGATAATCAATGTGATCTTGAAATATAACTTCCGGTGCCCGGAGAGATAAAGGTGTATGTAGTGTTTCGGGGGGGAGCAGTGTGCAAGAATGACTCTCCGAAGTCGATTATTTTGACATCTTGAGCCAAAATCCAAGAGTTATTCCCGTATGAGGCAGGTCTCACAACATATTCGGGGACACCGGCTTCCAGGAATTTCCCATCGCGTTTTTGGACATAGCCAACTTCTGGTTTTCCTAGGATCTCAATAAACTTTTCTTCTGTTAAATTGTCTATGTGAGGCATAGCGAAGGCCAAATTGCGGGTATGCAAATCTATAACTACCAGGTGAGCACTGTCCAAAGTAATTCGGAGAGTGTCATTTACCTCCATGTCCAATCTTTAGTTGGTGCAAACTATCGAGTCCAATCAAACATTGCTTTGCAATGATTTTGGCGAGCTTGCCAGGAAGTCTCCCATCTGGAAAGCTTGCATCAATTATGTCTGGAACGTTGGGGCCCAGAAGCTCGTAAACTAGGCATTTATGAGATCCATTTGGGCCCTTTAGATCGAAGTGGTCGAGCATGTGCACTGTGTGGTTCGGGAGAGGTTGATGAGATGCAAGCAATTTCAAAGTTTGGAGCTCTTGAGTGTCCCCATTATGTTCACGTTCTGCAACAGAAATTTTGACCGCAATATACGTCTGCTCCCTGTAAAAAAGCAGCTTTTCAGTTAGCTAGCACTATCGCGAGTCACACCAGCTTGCACAACCTTTGATCTCTCGCCGCCCAAACAGTCGAGTAGCCTCCCCATCCTAGTTTATGTAACACCTTATACCTTCCAAATTTCAAGCATTTCCCCAAAGTGACTGGGTGGTAACCGCCTTGCCGATAGCGTTGAAGTGGCTCAGCATCAATGGTGGAAATATAGAGGTTCTGGTCCATCTGACTGCTGTTTGAATGGGAAGACATTGTCCTGGAGGTAATGCGAAGTGGTGAGATGCTCCTCAAGGGGATAGTACGGCTCAATATCATGCATGGGATAGCCATTGGATAAAACCGCAGTTTCCCGTGCATATTATGTTGGGCATTGGAGTTAATCACTCCAAATTATGTGGCTCGGGTAGTGATGGAAGATAGAGGATGGCCCCTTTCGCTGCAACCTCACAGCAACATCCAGGTAATATTGATGCCTGAGGCATCAACTTAACATGCATTCGCTGCAGAAGGGCAAGGGCAAACGGAAAAAAGGGAAGGAGAGAAAAGGGAAAGTAAGATCGAATGCCGTGTCCTGGAATCGACCGTCTGACTTGGTCAAAAATTATAAAAGGCAAAAAGGTGGTTCAAGGCAGCTGCTAGCGTTTCATTAATCAACCTAACCACTCTTCCCCCCAAACGGGTAAGGCCAAGACCCCTAGACCATTCGAAGCTACGATGCCAGGACAGACTCTTTTCCCAATTGTAACCGATACATTCAAGGTTTCTGGAGGTCTTTCAACATCTCGCGCTGCAATTAAGTCGGCGATTGACAGTTGACAGTTGACAGTTGACAGTTGACAGTTGACAGTTGACAGTTGACAGTTGACAGTTGACAGTTCACTGCATTTCTATTATTATCTGGTACACTCCCGCTGCCTATTCCCTTTTAGGTCCCCTGGGGTATCAAAATCGATGACCCCCACTATAAATACTACCCTCCGCATTATGCAGGGTCTAACAAATTTATTTCTTGAATCTGATCACCGACCTCAGTGAACCTTTACAATGCAAACCTCCCGACTCCAACTAGTCCGGCTAACAGAGGACCACGTCCCAGGCTACCACGCCATCTGGTCCGACCCATTCACAACCCGATGGAGTTCGCATGGGCACTGCGCTACGCTGGAAGACAGTAGGGAGTGGATGTCAGCCCTACTTCCAGACGTTAATCCCAAGGGAGTCAATTATGCTGTTCTACTACGCGCAGATATCGATCTCGACCTAGCGGAAATCGCACAAGCACAAGCACGACACGGGACTCCCGGCCCCGGCGGTGATGGCGATGGCGATGGCGAGACAGTTCTCCGACCCGGTGGTTTTCTAGGATGGGTTGGAACGTGGAGGTCGGATCCAGAGCCGGAAGTTGGACTTATCTTCCACCGATCGACGTGGGGGGTGGGATTTGCTACGGAGGCCCTGGGTGCCTTTTTAGAGGTATTTTGGAAGGAAAGGCCGGAATTTGAGCATTTGGAGGCGTGGGTTGATGAGGAGAATAGTGCTTCAAGTAACGTTCTGCGGAAATGCGGGTTTCAGCTTGTGGAGAGGCTTGAGGGCGATTATATTTTGAAATGGATGGTGCCTGAGTTGAGAAATAGTCTTCATTTTCGGGCCAGGAGAGCTGGCTCCAGTGCAGTGGCTACTGGCGGTGATGCTGAGAGGACTCATTCAAGTTGATGAGAGCACTGGCATTTACGTCTTTGATACGGTGGGCATATGTGTACAGGTTGATATTTGCATCTATTCATACATGTAATGGAGATACATACTGCACTAGCAGCTATCATTGTGTAGCCCAAGCTACCTTGCCGCTCGGAATCTGCAGCGACTGCAGGTGAGCTTTGTATTTCTCCAAGAAGGGGTGATTTCCACCTCGGAAACTGTTCAATAGTAGCAGAAAATCCTCAGCTAAGGTCTGCGGATTCGAGGTTGTGGGTATTGAGTCGGTGAAATTGCCCAATGGCGCCATTCCGGTCCCATAGGGTGGGTTGATGTTGCAGAGAATATCGGTTGCGCTAACTGCAATGTCATATAACTTCTCGGTCTAGTAAGAACGATTAGCAATTTCCTCAACCTGAGTCCATGGTCGGAAGATAGGGGAACATACAAATCCAATCCCGTGGGCTTCCATCGAGCTGAGTTTCAATGATCGGCAGAGTTGTAAGGTTGATTCAGCGACAGACACGGCATAGCCAAATGTGAGATCAGGCCGCTCAGAATGAGAGCGCAAGAAGCCATGATTGAGACAGAGAAGCCAAACACGGTTCTGAATCCATCTTTGGGTAATGAATACATCTGCGGCCTGCGTTTCACGCAATCCCATGGCCAGAAGAGCATTGTTGTCGTTTCGATCCCCTCTTGCTTTCTCGAACCAGTCGTATCCCTTGAATCGCTCGGCTTGGCTGATTTTTTCAAGACTGTCATACATCGACAGTGCTTTAGCCTCGGTGAATCTTGTACAGAATCCTTTGCTGATGTCGCATCGTTGATTCCAGCAGTGTACGATGTCTTCGTCGATAACATCGAATAACTCCATCAGCCGGGCTAGGCCCATCATCCCCTCGGCATCTTTCTCGTTGTGGACAATAATACCCGAGACTAGGCTGTGGGTTGCATTGTGAAGGAAATCGTGAACGGAGCGCATGCTGAATCCCGGTTTTCCGGAAAATGTCACCGGATGAAGCCGCTGAAGAGCATATGCCCTATAGTGGTATTATCAGCATATTTGAACGCTTTTTTTTGAGAAAAAAGAAAGGATTGGGAGGTTAGAGAACATGCATACCTTTCTGTAATTGATAAAACGAGATATGTCCGCAATCTTTGTCCTTTTTCATCCCCAGATAAGTCGCGATAGGATTCAGGGTCGTTAAGTCCGAGTGTAGAGGCGAGATCTAACGCCTCTCGCAACCGAAGCCATGCAGCATTGTGCTGGTTGCTACCGAAGAGACAGCCGAAAAGAAAGAAACTTGTCAGAACTGCCTCAATGGTAGGGTTTTCGCCGAAGTCGGAACAGCTCCGCATTTTGGTGGCCTCGTGCATCATGGAACGTGCCTGTGTGGCACGTGACGAAGTTGTTGCACGTTCATTAATCTCAATCGGTTGCGTCAACGAGAACGCGCACAAGGAAAGCAACATTGCTCCAAACTGGGGGTTTTTGCGATGCTCCTGGGACATCATGCGGGTGAAGAGGGAAGAGCGACTGAGAACCGGAAGGGTGGGGTGTAATCGGTCGAAGTATACATCGATCCAGGGAATCATGTTAGATTCATTGATAGCAGCAGGCCAGAATTCGTCTGCGTCTTGGCTATCGGATTGGATGGAGGATCCCACGGCTGGAGAGAATGCCATCCGTTGATGATCCTGCGGGGACATATTCATGGCCGAGGCATCGGGGACTGGTTGGATGATAGAGGGAAGAGATGGTTTGAGATATATGTTACTTCCGGGGAACTCGAAGACTGGTACTTGGGCGCCTAGGTGGTCCGGAAGCCAGTATTCGACGTCTTGCCGGTCGTTCCAACCCACAGCAGCACTATTAGCATGTGAGTCCATAGACGCGGCATCGGCGGCCCAGGCGTCTACCACGGCTGATGATTGAGCAGATGGTGCTCAGCACAGCTGCTCCATCCATTGGCATCGTGACTTCGCCATGAGGACCTGCCCAGGATGTCCCCGGTATGGACACGGGCCGGCCGGGTTCCACAGACGAGTTCGGGACATTCGGGACATGATATTGGAAAGATTCTTGTTTGGAGATCGGAGTTTCCGAGGGATCTCGAGAGATGATATGAGTTTGCTGCTGTCGGATTTGCGACACGCGACTATAAATATGGTTAGAGCAGGGCCTTCCGGCGCGTCGGCGTCGGCATCGGCGCGATCATGACATGACTTTGACTTACTGGCCCGTTGGACCGCGCTTCTTCTGCGGCTGGAGGAATGTACAATCAAACCCCATCGCCTGGCAGGCTTTGCAGGGTTGCGACAGGCTACACTGTCGGAAGGATTAGCGCCTGTGTTGGCGGCCGGCCGGCCAGAGCCAGGGTTAGGGGTTACTGAGGGGCCGAGGAGATGAAATACCTTGATCTTGCGGAACTTGCATTGGTCGCAGGCTCGCTTTGCGATGCTGGCGGCATTCTTATTTCGAGTGCGAATAGCCCCCGGGGCACCCCCGGACGGCGATCCAGTTGTAGAAGCCATCAGGAAGCCTATTTGGCTCCATGAAGCATCAAGATGGAGAGACGGCGAGACGGGGGGGTGTGTCGAGGTTGAAGATCTCCCGACCCACTTCGGCTTCGACGGTTGGGAATTCCCCGCCTGGCAAATGCCACCGCGAACGGAGAGCAGTTTAGCTTTGTATTTGGTGTACTGGGGACCATAACTCTACAGGAATCGGCTAAAACTAGAGTAGAAATTAATAATAAAATAAAATAAAAATCCGGGGTGACTCCAACAAGGCCACGAGACTTCTCCAACACATAATCACCCAGTAATACTACTTTATTCTTTATTCCCCCCACCTTTGCCAATGACTCCATTCTTAGATAGCCGCCATTCCGAGAAGCGGAGTCCTATGTCCACTACTATTTAAACAATCGATATTCCCTCGTTCCCTCGGAATTGGACACTAGACTAACTACCTAAATCATAATGGGATCCACACAGCAATCGTGGGAGCAAATCGTCTCCCAAAAGCTCGCTGCCAGGGACCAGCTACTCGCACCATACTTGGTCGACGATATTGAGCAGCGAGTGCCTCGTGTCTTGCAGGTTGATCAGCGCAGTTGTTTGGAAAAAGATCCTCAAGTTCAGAAGATCACTGATCTCGATAATATCGTGGATTTGTTACAGTTGCTTCAAAAGGGAGACTTGACGGCGACAGAAGTAGTCACGGCGTATATCAAAAGAGCCGTGGTGGCACATCAACTGGTAATCTAATTGACCTTTGTCTTCCATTTCTCCTCCCCAGAGCTCTCATTTGATACAACTGATCTGATGGTCAAACAAGACAAATTGCCTCACAGAAGTTTGCTTCACAGAAGCTTTGGAGCAAGCGAAGCAACTCGATATCGAATTTCAGATAACTGGCCAACCATCGGGACCTTTACATGGTATACCTATTACCCTGAAAGACCAATTCAACGTCAAAGGTCTCGATACGACACTCGGATATGTCGGCAGGTCATTCTCGCCAGCAGACGAAGATGCAGTCTTAGTACAGATGCTAAAGAACATGGGCGCCATCGTCATTGCGAAAACGAACCTCTGTCAAAGCATCATGGTCAGCCTTTTCCACCACACAACTCATCACGACAACTAAACTGATCCCGTTCTCTAGTGGTCTGAGACCGAGAATCCACTCTGGGGACTAACAACAAACGCCCGGGACCCTTCGTTCACGCCAGGAGGCTCTACCGGAGGCGAGGGACCACTGCTCGCCTTACACGGCTCCATTCTGGGCTTTGGAACTGATATCGGAGGCAGTATTCGCATTCCACAGAGCATTGCAGGACTCTATGGCTTGAAACCCAGCGTACGTTCTTTAATACTTACTACCAGCATAACCACATCTCACTCACACTTACAATAGAGCAGCCGATTCCCTTACAACGGACTTGCCGTCTCCACAGAAGGCCAGGAACACGTCCCATCATCAGCAGGCCCAATGACCCGAGACCTCGCATCACTCTGCTACATAACACAACTCGTAGCAAACGCCCAACCCTGGACCCTAGACCCCCGCTGCACGCCAATCCCCTGGAACGAACCATCCTTCCACGAGATCCAAAACCGCCCACTAGTCATTGGCCTAATCCTCGACGACGGCGTCGTAAAAGTCCACCCACCCATCACCCGCGCCTTACAAGAGCTCTCCTCCGCACTGAAAGCCCACGGCCACGAAATCGTGCCATGGGATACATCAGACCACGCCTCCGCCATCGAAATAATGGACCAATACTACACCGTCGACGGCGGCGAGGATATCCGGCGCGACATCGACGCCGCGGGCGAACCTTATATCCCGCACGTGCAGGCATTGGTTAATCGCGGCACCCCGATCTCTGTATACGAGTACTGGCAATTGAATAAGCGCAAAGTGACCGCGCACAAGAAGTACCTTGATAAATGGCGTGCTGTGCGTTCAGCGTCTGGAAAGAGCGTGGATATACTCCTCAGTCCGACGCTGCCGCATACAAGTGTTCCACATCGCAAGTCGAGGTGGGTTGGGTATACGAAGATTTGGAACTTTCTTGATTATCCGGCTTTGACTTTTCCCGTTGAGAGGGTTAGGGCGGATAGGGATCGGGTGCCCGTCCAGCCGTATGCGCCGAGGAATTCGGTTGATGAGTGGAATTGGAATCTTTATGATGCGGAGGAGGTGGATGGGTATCCGGTGAATTTGCAGATTGTTGGGAGGAAGTTGGAGGAGGAGAAGGTGCTCGGGGCGGCGACTGTTATTGAGAAGATCTGGAAGAGTCGTTGTATCTAGATTATGATCTTGCTGGGTATGCATTGAATACCTAAGGTAGTAAGAAGCAAGTTTGAAACTATATCTGCCATCCCTACTTATTTACTTGGGCACGAGCTTCAAGATCCACCACATAATTCATGATAGGAAGAGAGACCGGGGTCCATTTCCAATTTATTCAATTCACTAATCAGAAACCGCCAACGCCACTGGAAAATGCTGTTGGATATCGTATTTTTATGCCTTAGGGGGCACGAAGAGCTCGGGCTTCATGTTGATTTTGCAGAGCTTCGAGATACACCCGCTCAATTGAAGAAGCGACTGCACACCATCGAGGATACGCATGTGAGTAAATCCAATCTCCCGAACAAATTCCAACTTGGAGTGCTCCGAGAGAGTGGGGATAGTCTTCGTGACTCGGAACATGGTGCTGATAATATCGTGAGAGGAGTAACCAAGAGTCCTGTCAAAATGTTAGAAAAGGATACGCCTCTAACGAATACAAAAAAAATCACTCACCAGAGCTCATTAAGACCCTCGAGAGCCGCATCCACTTTACCTTCCCAGCAAGCCTTGATCATAGCTTGAACCTTGACCGGATGAGGACTATCCACAACACGGAACACATTATCTCCGCTAACGAAGCCAAATCCAGACCAGGTACTTTGAAGATTGTTGATTGCTTGTCGCATGTCGCCCTCGGCGCTGAAAACGAGGGCAGCAAGGCCGTCATCCGAGGATTGGACTTTCTCCGCTTCGCAGATTTGTGTCAGTCGCTTCACGACTTGGGCGTCTGTCAGACGGGCGTAACGGAGGATGGCGCAACGGGACTGGAGAGGCTCGATAATTTTGTTCGATTGGTTGCAGGCGAAGGCGAATCGTGTAGTTGTTGAGTAGATTTCCATTGTACGGCGCAGAGCTTGTTGGGCACCGGGTGTCATGCTTTACAAGGTTAGCTGAAGCATGGTATATCTGGAAGTCGTCGGAACTAACCTATCAGCTTCGTCAAGAATGACAAGCTTGTGACGGCCCTGTGGCAGGGTGACCTTCTTTTGAGCAAAGCCCTTGATACGGTTGCGAACCACATCGATACCTATTTAGGCTGTCAGAAACAAAGATTGCCAGTTATGCAGAATGCAAGAAGTGTCCGATCTGACCTCGTTCGTCACTGGCATTCAATTCCAAAACAGCCTCTTTATACGAATCGCCCAGCAATTGTCGGGCTAGGCAGAGGACCGAAGTCGTCTTTCCAATACCGGGCATGCCGGAGATGATAACGTGAGGCATATTTCCATCTTTGGCAATGATTTTTAAGCGTTCAATTGTTTCCGTGTTGCCGACGATGTCATCGAGGAAGACGGGGCGGTATTTCTCAACCCTGTAGCGGAGATGAAAAGTTAGCCAACGTACGTGTCACGCTACATGGGGCGTCATTTACCAAGGAAGCTCGTAGTCCACAGGAGCACCTGCAGTGACAGCTTTGGCGCCATTCTGCGCACTTGAGGATGATTCAGCTTGTGTCATATTGGGCGGTTTGGGGAGAAGCGGTAACTTGAACGTTAATTGCAGAGACGCGAAAGGGTTCCCTCGCGCGCGCGTGCGATAAGCCTTTATCAGTGGCCTGTGCTCCTTGGAAACTTTTAAGGTACTTACACAGTGATCCCCTGTTGACCGCTTTTGTTCTCCGCCTTCCTATACTGGATTAGCAGCTGCTTTAAGTAGTATAGCTTAGTCTATCACCTCCAGTTTTGGTACGGACTAAGCTATCTTAAGAAGGCGGTCAGTGGGGTCCCAGACTTTAGCTGTAAGCATCAAGGATAAGACCTGTACTTGCGCTCCTAGTTTAGGGTAGTAGCCACCACTAGACATCAGACAATAAGCTCAACATCCGTGGGCAACTGAACCATCACTCAAATTTTATCCTTGCGCACTAGTCACTCGCTAACAAGAGTCTTGTTACTGGTCGATCAGCCTTGATCTTGATATATTTCTGCCGTTCGCGGCCTCAGCTCATTCCTAAGGGCCCATCAACTTTCCTCTCCCTCTCCACGAGCTATTCTTATCCCCAGCAAAGAGTCCGAGAGAGCAGTCCACTCTGATACACATAGTCTATCGATACAGAGCACGATCTCTCTGACTCGTTCACTCGTTCAACACGCGTTCTCTCGACACTCGACGTGACCCCTACCAACAAGAACCGCGTCTCTACCTAGGTACACTCCATCGCAAACCACCGCGCCAGTCACCCTGCTCTATCAGACTCTACCAAACACTCGCATCCATGATGGGCCCACCGACCATCCGTTCCAGCATATTCCACCAAGGCCTTAGCCGTCGCCCGGCCTCGACAGGACCGCCCAATGGCAATATGCCGTCGGGCAATAACCCACTCGCAACCCGCCCTTCGCATTCGCACAGGCTTAAGCCAACGACCTCAGACACTTCCTCTTTTCGCGGCATTAAGATATCAGAGAACAAGGAAATTGTGGTGAGAGACAAGAATGGGGGCTACAAACTTGATGTACCCGCTTTGCCGAATGGTCTAGTTGGAGAAAATGGCGAAGAGCTGGGTGAACTTGATCCAGATGAGTCTGGCGAGTTGGGTCTTGAGGCGGGGGATTTAGGTGGACGGGACAAAGAGAGTACGTTTCTTAGACGAAGGCAGGTGGGAAAGGAATCACGTGTGTCTAATGATCGTTATCTAGAATTCGACGCCGCGCTCGTTGAGATGATGATTCGTCATCGGAACAGGCAGTCGAGTGGTGAGCCTGACGGTAGGTTACAAAGACGCCCCTCCCCCCCCTTCACTCGCGTACGAATTGCTGCTAACATAACTGCCAGAAATTTTGGACATTGTACACCAGAGCTTGCGCAAAAAGGCCGCGTCCCTGGATGATGATAGTTGGATGTTCGAGCCGGAAAAGGACATTGTGTTCTAAAAAAAGAAATTCTTCAATTATGCGCTACAGGTGTTCTTCATTGTTCGTTACACTTTGGATTTGGGTATGTTCAACAATGCCCTTTAGGCATTCTTTTTGCATCGAGGCGGGGAGGCAGGGGTCGCCCACGCCCACGCCCACGCCCGTACCAGATATCACTTCACTCTAATCGAGTTCCATACTGGAAGGAGGTGCTGCCTCGACCTTCTTCGCGGTCCTTGGGGCCCGTCGCCCACCGGAATTATCCTGGCCGCCCTGGCCGCCGAAAAGCATATTGCTCATCATATCCATGAGAGGATTACCCTGGCGCGGGATCTTGATGGCAAAGTACTGCTCGCCAATCTGAGCAAGGAACTCGTCCCAAATGCCAACGTCCTTGATCTGCGCCGCATAGTGCGCAGTCAGCTGTTTGAACAGATCGGCGCTTCCCCGCTGCACGGTCAGCAGCAACAAGCTGATGAAATTAAGCAAGGGCAGCGCGGGGTACACGCGAGCGTCGGAGCTCGAGCTGCTGACGTCCTGCACAGCAAGCGAAGGGTTCGATGTTGAGAGTCGGGTGGTGAAGATGAGCAGGGCCTTGTTGGCGCTGCGGAGGTTTCCGGTCAGGAGGTATGGGAAGACTGCGCGCGATGCGTAGATGGCTGCGGTGTGCGGCTCGTCATGGGTATACCACTCGTATTCCAGCTTGGCCAGTGTCTCTGCCGATTCCGAGGTTCCCAGAATAAGATGCTTCTCGGCATCATACGGCTCGTTGTCTGCATAGAAGTTCGAGTTAGAAAATTCAGGAACAAAATAACCTTAAGACCTCATGACCAAATATCATTACCTTCAGCGTAGACCGAGCCTGCGGCATGGTGCAGGTCCGGATCACCTCGCTCCAGCGGTCCGAATCGGCTACTCCACCCCATAATCTCTTGAATAAACCGCTTTCGTGTAGGTTCGTCGGAGGGAAACTCGCGCAGAAGTTCGATCAAGCGCTCTGTCAAGAGATGTTAGCTATTTTGCGTCGCGGGGGAACCGTCTCTAACCTCCGCCATAACGGAGATCATGACCATCCGCAAGCAGGAAGACATACTCTTTCTAGCCCGGCCCTCGGTATCATTATCCTCTCCTGAAATTTCCCACTCGGCCTTATTGTAAACTTCCACCACCAACATGATTGCCAGATCACCACCACTCGCCGAGGCACCCTGCTGGGCACCGGCCCTCAACAGAGCCGTCGCACCGCCAGCTAGAAGATCGGCGGCGGCATCGTAGTTGGACTGTTTGATATAGCGCACTGCGATAGTCCGCAGCTGCTGGTGTGCTTCGTAGTAGGCGCCGTCAGCGATCCTAGGAAAGAATGTGGGCGTCAGCACACTGAATGTTGTCCAGTTCCACAAAGCAGAATGCGGTGTCTCACCTCTCTCGCTGGCGGGCAATGACCTTTTCAATGCGGGAGGTCATCGTCAGGAACTAGAACCGAACCGAATCAAATAAAATCGAATCGAATATCAAACAATCGATGTGGAGATGTTAGAAATAGACCAACACAAGATGAAGCGGGAGGTTCGCGGGGAGTTGCAAGTGAAGGTCCAAAGTTGGTGGGGAACGCGGAAGCTCCATTTGACTTGCCCTTTTACCTTACGAACATTTTCCTATTCTTCCGCGCAATCCCTGGCAATCTTCTTGATTTATAGATCTCTTCAAACGGGCAAGAGTTCGTGATCACGAAAGCTACACAACCCTGAATCTATCGCTAGAATACCTTTCCAGCGCGCCCCTTGCGACGAACTTCCTGCTGCCAAGTCTCCTATGCGCGCCGACTAGTTAGATCATTCCCTCTCGAATCAAGGGCTGAGAACCGCATTACTTGCGCCTCTGGCTGGCTACGATCTATATCAAGGTCTCACCAGCTTCTGGAAAAAATTTCAGCCATGAGTCAGGCTTCTTTCAACATCCAACCCGTGAACCGCTTCGGCGGACAGGGTACTACAATTCGGCGGCCCAGGGTATGTTGGACCCATTCCGGTCTCTCTCCACAAGAAAAGAGAGAAAAAAGACTGTGATTATGTTAATACTATGTGAATTATCAGGAAGTGACATGTTTCTCATACGACCGAGACCGTCAATTCACATTGGGAGAAAGTTCTCTGGCCTACTATTACCCGCCAAATCTCCCAGCAGACCTGAATATCGGCTACGAGACCTTTCAAAAGCTCAACGATTCTGCGGACGAGCATCTTGATGCTTTGCTCGATACGATCGTTGCGCTGGAGAGGGATACGGAAAAGAAATGCGAGACTGATATCATTACCTGGCGAGGCATGATGACGAAGGTAATACTACTAAATGCCGCCGCCTTGGTTCAGATATACTAATTCTTTTTATCGTGGTATATAGATCATGGCTGCTCCTTTCAATATGTCTGATGGGTATGTTCTGCTGTTGATGGCAATGGCTTTTTTTAAACTTTTACTCACATAATCCGTTTCGTATCTAGTTTCGAGATGAACGCGACTTGTTTCCAGGTTAGACCAACTCTCCTTACAACACTTATCTTACTCGGGTCGACCTAACTTGAATGCAGGGCACGATGTGCGACAGTTTTCCTTTCCAGAGCTCTAGGTTACGCTACTGATAAAAGCCAGATTCATCGAAGAGAACAATTCGTATAAAAACGAGCAGAAAGAGAAACAGAAAGCTCAGAGGATGCCGCCAGGAATGGCATCGCAAGAGCGCATGATGTACTGGGGTATGACGCGCGAAATTTGGAAATTCTTACCGTACTTCGCAGGCCGTTCTTTGCTGACTCTGGCCCTGGCCCTATCTCAGGTTACAAGTTTGAGGTTCTGTCTGTTTTACACAAGCCTTGGGATCCTACGACGCGCGCTGAGATCGAGGGCCGCCAGGATGAAGTTGTGAACAATAGTGCTCAATATTGTTCGGTGGTTAAGACGGGTATGGGTAATGTGCGCATGATTCTTGGGGGTGAAGTTGATGCCGGTATGTTCTTTTGTTGGGTTTTATGCCCGTTTCACGACTCTGGTCTGCTTTGCTTACTTTCATCGCAGTTTGGGACTGCAAGCCGGAGAAGAAAGAAGATCCAATCCACTGGGTTGAATTGAAGACGTCGGCGGAAATTCGTAATGAACGCGACATGATGAAGTATGAGCGGAAGTTATTGAAGTTCTGGGCACAGTCTTTCTTGCTCGGGGTGCCGACGATTATTGTTGGTTTTCGTGATCAGGATGGTATTGTTCGTCGGTTGGAAGAGCTTGATACGGCCAGCATCCCGGGCAAAGTCAAGAAGCTTGGAAGGGGCTCTTGGGATGGTAATATCTGTATCAATTTTGCTGCCCAGTTTCTTGAATGTAAGGGACCTCCCTCTTTTCTGGGGTTTGGGAAACCTGCTAACACTTCCCTTTTGCAGGGTTGAAACATACTATCCAGCAGGATGGCACGTGGAGAATACGGAAGCAAGAGAAATCTTCAGTCATTGAGGTTTTCAAAGTTGAAGAATCTGGCCATGGCGATATTCTCTCGTCTACATTCAGAGACTGGCGATCACAAGCTCAGGGGACGCAAGCTCAGGAGACACAAGCTCAGGAGACACAAGCTCAGGAGACACAAGCTCAGGAGACACAAGCTCAGGAGACACAAGCTCAAGCTTAATTTGTGCCTTCATAATTCTAGGTGGTCCTCTTCAAAGACCAATTTTGTATTTATTGTGGGTGGTATCTTATGATTCTTATGTACTTCCTCGGTCTTCGGCGCTGGCTCCAGTTGCGGGAACCTTCTTGGACTCCTCTAGTTCCCGTTTTCGGAAATATTCATCTCGTTCTGCTTTCCTTGCCGCCGATTTGAGACCCTTTTTGTGCGAATAGCTGGTCAAGTGGATTTTCCACTGTTCTTCGCCGGCCATGGTTTTGCGGCATATATCGCAGGTGAAACATTGTGTGGTCGAATCTGGCTTTTGGACTATTTGGTCTTCCTTGGCGCCGAGAACAGTACTAGCAAGCTCTGAGAGAGACTTGGGGTCAGGCGTGCTCTTTCCGTCGAGCATGCACTGAACAATATTCTCAGACGGCTCTGTAATGCAGGATTTCCAGTCGGCGACGCTGCTGCTATCAACAAGGTATAGGCGATATGTCATGCCTGCATCAGACATGGCTTTCCATAGCTTATTTCTGATCCATTTGATTTGGGATCGGCCATATTGGCGAGTGGCAGTTCTTATCGATTCAATGCAAGTTGTTTTTAGCGTTTGAAGTTCCTCTTCGCTCATTTTGGTTTCGGCTTCTTGGAGGGCGGAGAAATAGGGCGCAAGCTCTTTGAACCCAATTGATACCCAGACGCCGCGGGTCATATCAACTTCAATGCCCTCTGACTGTTTCTGTTGTATGTAGTCAAACATCGTCTTGGCCTCTGTCATCAATCCCATCTTTAACATATCATCAACACGACCATTAAGCCGTGTGTTGAGAATCTCTTTTTCGGCATGGACCCAGAAGATCATAGTATTGTCAAACCGCAGTAGTCCTTCATCATTGCTCACAGCCTCATTTTTCATGGCTTGCTGCTCAGCATAAATATCCGAAGCACGCCGTCCGGTTTGGAAGTATATCTCCAAGGACCGTCGAATCTTCCGTCCATCCTTCGGGTGCCATCGTTGGGCCATCACTGGGTCAACCTCTCTTAACTTTTCCATAAGAATCTCAGGTGATGAATCCAGAATGGGCCATTTCGCTGATGTTGATGTTGAGACCGAGGCTTCCTCTGAAGAAGGCTCCGGTCCATCTTCATCCTCCGAACCCTCCCCAACCAACTGGTCCTTGAACAATACCGCCTGGGTATAATAATGCGTGCCACCAACCAGAACCGGTGTTTTCCCACGAGCTCGAATTTCGTCGATAAGCCGGAGAGCTTCACTCTTGAATTTGCTGATACGCCATGCTTCCTCCTCTAGGCCTACACAGCTCAGCAGGTGGTGGGGAATGCCGTTTCGTTCCTCGACGGGGATCTGATTCGTAATGATCGGGAGGCCGCGGTACATTTGCATTGCGTCGCCATTGATAATCTCGCCGTTAAATCGACAGGCTAGATCTACCGCGAGCTGGCTGTAGCTATTAGCGTCCTTGTTCGCGGAGAGATTGGGTTGGATGGATGGAGGGGTATTCCATCGCATGGGATTGTTTTTTTTTTTTTACCTTGGACTTGCCAGTGCCCGTTGCGCCGACGACTGCTATGAGGGGATCCATGACTGCTTTTGCTTTATGACGGGGCCAGAATGATCGGAGGAACGGGAGCATCCCGCGCTCATCCTTCAAGATCGAGGTTCTGGAAAAGTTGGAGAAGTTGGAGACGGAAAAAAGGTCCGCAGTGTTATCGCAAATCGCAAATCGCAATCGCAGTGGCACCTTACCTCATCCGGGGCCACTCCCGCGTGCCCACCCTAGCATCACCACAGTTTAGTTTCTTAATCCCGAGTGACTCAATATTACTGCCTGTGTTGCGTCTCCTTTTTATTCCATTCTGCTCATATTCTCTCAAACAGCTTCAAGTTTTACTGACATGGCGTCCCAATCCCCATCGATCGAGGTGCAGAACCTCTCCTATAAATTCCAAGATGGGTCCGCGGGGCTACAAGACGTGCAATTGAGTCTTCCACCTGGAAGCCGAACGCTACTAATCGGCGGTAACTAAATATCCAGAGCTTCCCACTGGCAATTTCAAATCATATATCTAACACGAATACCAGCAAACGGAGCCGGCAAAACCACTCTGCTACGCCTAGTCTCAGGCAAACGCCTAGCACCCAACGACACAATTGCCGTGGGCGGCAAGGACCCCTTCAAAGAGGGCCTGGACGGAGTCACCTACCTGGGCGTTGAGTGGGTACTGAACAGCATTGTCCGCACCGACATCGACGTGCCAACTCTACTCTCCTCCGTGGGCGGCGATGTCTACACAGAGCGCCGCGACGAGCTAGTCGACATCCTCGACATCGATCTGAGCTGGCGCATGCACGCCGTTTCCGACGGTGAGCGCCGTCGTGTCCAGCTAGCCATGGGTCTTCTGCGTCCCTGGCAGGTCCTTCTCCTCGACGAAATTACCGTCGATCTGGACCTGCTTTCCCGGAGCAATTTCCTCGCGTTCTTGAAGCGTGAGACGGAGACTCGCGCTTGCACGATCGTTTATGCGACGCATATTCTGGACAATCTTGCGCAGTGGCCGACTCATCTTGCGCATATGCATCTGGGTAGGGTCAAGGCGTGGGGTCCTGTTGAGCAATTCTATCGCGAAATCCCGCAGTGGACGTCTGAGAATAGCCGGCTGGGAGAGTTGGTTCTGAAGTGGTTGAAGGAGGATCTTGATGCTCGTGGTCCGCGGAAGGGCCGGTCGACGGAGGGCAAGACTTACCAGTCTCTTGAGGGGTTGGGAGGGTATGGACTTGAGAAGCGCAGTTAAAGGAATAACTTGACTGCTGCTCTGGTTCAACTTTGGTTTTTTCTTTTATTTTTCTGGCGAGTTCACTCGTTTCGGCACCGAAAGGAGTCTTTTCACATTATGCCGTTCAACAATCATTGGGTTCAACAACCTGGCATGGGTGGGGTTTTGCGGGTATCTGAAAATCTACAGCATAGATTTATTCAACATTAGGAGTTTTTCAACCAGGACTCCATAGAAAGGTTATGTTCATGAATATACGAAAGGTTCGGCGGCATGGATAGCCGAGAAGTGGGAAACTATCTTTCAACCGATAGTGAGAACAAACCCATTTATACATGTGACAAATATGCCAATTTCAATGCAATATCTACTCAATTTTGAGAATCCCTGCTACTACTACTACTACTACTACTACTACTACTACTACTACTACTACTACTACTACTACTACTACTACTACTACTACTACTACTACTACTACTACTACTACTACTACTACTACTACTACTACTACTACTACTACTACTACTACTACTAGTACTACTGGTGTTGGAAAATTTTCACTCTGGAATAATTCTTTGTAAAGAGCCACAGAAGATAATTTATCTACTGAATTTGATATTGAACAAAGTATGGATCATGAAACTATGTTCGAAATGGTGTATATGCGTGCCGAAGTGTCTTCACTAGCGACAGCAAGTTCAAACTTCGTCTTACTGTTGGCCTCCTCCGTTGTCACGGGCCGCCAAGCTAGTTGTGTGATCGACCTTGAAGGCGCAATGGTGCTATCGATATTCACCACAAGTTGTGCTTCCAGGCTGTCAACCGCGATTTGGTGGATGGAAAGTGCTCCGCTATCCTCTCCAACAGCAAGAATGAATGAGCCCTGATAAACCGCAGGCAAGAATTCAATAGCCGAGACGGGCGATGCCAGCGCAATCATTGACTTGCAGATAAAAGTTCCGTCCTCGGACCTTTGCCAGATTTTGACGGATTTGTCACGTCCAGCCGTGGCAAAGATATAATCCGAGGTTGAGGTTTTCGGAGCCCATGCTGCTCCCAGAATCATTCGAGAGTGGCCCTTGGGGTTCGAGGCCAGATTCGTGAATAGGGTTGGGTCCTGCTCACTGCGTTCGAAGACGGCCCATTGGCGGTCTCGGCCCACGCTGAGAAGATACTTGTCGTCATCGGAGAAGGATAGGTCGTAAATGGTTAGGGAGTGGGCTGTGAGAGAGGGTTTAATCTCATGCCAGTCCGATGTATCGTACAGTCGAATAACAGCGTGGTCAAGAGAAGTAGCCTTGCAGGCAGTCGCAATGACCTTTCGGTCGTGACTAACCGCAACGGCGGAAATTTCATATCCGTGACCGTAGAGCTTTTCGTGTTCGGGCCACAGCGTATGTCGGGAGAGGTGGTCTTCTAAAGGTGGGGTGTCTGTGACCAAAGATGTAACAGGCACGGCAGCGGAGCCTCCTCCTTCCTCGTCATCTTCGACTGGAGCCTCATCTCCTTGTGCTTTGTTTGAGAGGCCAAGCACGGGGATTTCAGCCGTGTCGGGAAGTTCCTCCTTGGCGGATTGCTTGAAACCGGTCAGTCGTTCCAGCAGCTCGGCAGTTTGTTTAGGCTCGTTGAAAACACGCAATAACTTTTCGTCGGCCCCAGACACGAATTGTAATGGGCCCAATGTGTCGACGCAGTTCAGGTCGTATCCATGAATCTGGGGTCGGGCAAACTCGTGCCACGATCGTTGCTCATCGCGCAGCCATTGAGCATGAAGGCGGGTCGTTTGATCTGAGCTAGTGGAGAGCAAGTAGCCACCACTCGGCTCCCATTGAACTCCATTGACCGAACGTACGTGTCCGGAGATACCAAAGTGCTGCACCCAAATATCTGCTTCGGCGTCATGGCGCCAGGCTCTCCAGCTACCGGTTCGACCAAGGCTGACAACCTGTTTGCCATCTGGAGACCAAAGTCCAATCCAGAAACCACCGGCGCTTCCAGTTGCTGTGGTTGCGCCTTTTTGCACGCTAATCTCACCCATTCGCTCTACCGACATCCACACGCCCGATGTTGTGTCTTGCTCCCAGATTGTTACTGTGTTGTCGGCAGAAGCTGTGAGGAGTTGTGAGCGCTTTGGGTCTGGGTTCCACGCCGTAGTGTAGATCCAGTCTTCGTTTCCGAACAGAAGAGCTTCGAATGTAACCGTATATTTTGAGCCATTCGCTTCGAATTCATGGGCCTTGTTGGAGAGCGTAGGCTCCATTCCACCCAGTAGCGGGTCGGCATCATCGATGACTGCAGGGATGTCTGCTTCACCTCGACGCAGCCGCCACAGACGGATATATTTGTCCTGGCTGGCCGAAGCCAGTAGGAGATCGTTGTTGTCGTTCTGCTTGTCCTGGGTGAAGGAGAGGGATCTGACCCAAGCTTCGTGACCGGACAGGATAGCACGACGCTGGAAAATGGGCTTGTCAACTGATGCTTCTGCGACGTAAATCTGCACCTTGGTCGTGGTACCGGCAACCGCCAATACTAATGGACCACCTTTGACATCGTTCTCGAGAGTTCGCAGGGCCAGAGTCAATGGGAAAAATCGAGGCGTCATCGTGATTGTATCTAGCATCTCCGACTTTGTCTCATCCAGCGCACTGATTCTCCAAATCCGAACTGTTCCATCTGCGGCACCCGATGCAATGATATCACTGCCGTCTGCCACGGCAATCGCATTCACAGAACTTGTATGGCCCACGAGTGTAGATAGATGGGTATATTTTCGCGAATCGGTCGGATCTTGGCGCCATAGTCGAATTGTGTGATCAACGGAGCCGATAATGATCAATCTCGCTCCGGAGGAGGGGCATGTGTAAAATTTAACGACACTGACCTTGTCGGCGTGGCCAACAAGAAGAGCGTAGACACCTCGTTGGGGAGATTCCTTCGACAACTGTCAGCTCTGGATTTCATACCGTAGACGACTTCCGTGGTCTCAATGGACTTACCAGAGGTTCCCACAAGGCGACGTTATTGTCTGCTCCATAGGCAAGCACACCGGACTGGACGTCCCAATCCGCGGCACCCGCGTGTCGGTTTCCACCGACACTGATATAGTCTGTCGCAACAGACACCATGGTTCTTAAAGAGGCGGATGCCCTGCGCAGAAAGTGCAGTTGACGTTAGATGGCGGAGGAAAGAGCTGTCGCAAAAGATAATTGTGGAATTGACGCTTATCGATAAGTTCTTCCGCCTTGGGAATTTGAGAGCCCCTCCTCCGCCTGGCCGCCTCCTCATATTTCAATCCTCCCCACCTTGAATCTTGACGAGAGTGAGACGCCAGAAACCGGATATAAACAGACCTGCTTAGAATTATCTCAGTTTGAAGAACCATGGCCCATTCTACCAACGACGGTGCGGCCGCCACCATTTCAATTACCGTCGAGTTCACGTACCGTTCCCGCAATGCCCCAGATTCCTTGCACCGTCTCTAACCAAACTGAATAGTGGCGGACTCGAAATTCTGTTTTCCAATGAGCGCAAACACAATATCACACTCCCGGCCCGTCTAGACGATGCAAGTCAGCCGACGATTGCATACTTGCTTCAACATCTAGTGGACAATCTCATGAAGGACGACAGGAAGGAACTTTTTATTATGGAAGACAATGTGTATGCACGATCTATACTTGACCTGGAATTATGTTATGTCGTGTACTAACAACTTGACAGGCGACCTGGAATTCTTGTCCTCATCAACGACGCCGACTGGGAGCTAGAAGGCGAGGAGAACTATGAGCTTCAACAAGGGGATAACATTGTATTCGTTTCAACTCTGCATGGAGGCTAGATCGGTGTGACGTGATATCAAGAACGCATTGACAGTATCTGGAAGGTTTTATTGCTATTAAAGATGTGCACAAGGCACGAGAAAGAAAGTCTAGCCCAAGGCCGTGTCATGCCAAGTCAAGTCAAGGGTGAGGGAATCCCGCGATGTGAATGATTTCTATACAACATCTTCAACATGCTGCTGGGAGATCCTTTCAGGCTCGCGAGGGGTGCGAATTCCACTAGGAGTACGGAAGCCACTCTGGGGTGTTCCCTGGCCATCTGTTGGGCTTCCAAGACCCTGGATCGGAGACACCACGCCACTTGGGGGCACTGGGATCTTCAAATCCTCGGGCGATGCGGGAATGATCTCTTCTGGAAGGCCAGGGATATGAATTCGGCTTGCCTCGTTTTGGTAGCTTTCGGGAATGATCTATAAGATAGTTTGTTAGCCACTGAATTGAACAGAACAAGACACAATTGAGTGCGCTGTATACCTCGATTATTTCATCGCGAGGGAACTCAAGGAAAGGAATATCGGCAGCATTACAGGCCATGAGATAGCCATATAGGACGCGCAGTACACTTTCATGGGCAATAATAAGCAAGTCATTCTCCTCTCGCTCGAGCTCGAGAATAATCGGTTCAAGACGGACAGCCAGGTCATGGTAGGACTGATGGGGGTTGTTAGCTGGCCGTTCAATAATAGTAGACAATTCAGATTCGTACCTCGGCACGTGGGTAGCGATGGTGGTAAGGATCCAGCTCATGCTTTGCAACTTCATCGGCGTACTCGGCCCGAATCTTCTTCTCTGACATTTTCTCGCAGACTCCTGGGTTGAGCTGGCTCATCTGGGACCGTTGTCGAACTTTGTAGCCCCTCTCATAGAGGTATCTCGCAGTTTCCACAGTTCGGCGCCTGGTGGATGTCCAAACCTTCAAAGGGCGGAGTTCGTAGCCCGACTCGCCTCGATCGATCATTGCTTGCTTCTCTGATTCTCGGTGAGCCATCAAGCATTCAGTCATCTTCTTAGCATAATCCTCTCCTTGGTCGGACAAGGAAGCATCTGCTTTGTATGAGTCTGCCTCGACCGAAATACCAGCCTAAAATTGCGGTTAGAAGATGTGAAATGTGTACGATGGTACATTCTGGGGTAATTTCCTACCCGTGCAAAATAAGTTCTCCTAGATTTGATGTGAAGGTTCAAGAGGTAAAAGACGATCCGATTCGACAGATATCCAAAGCTTCGGTTATTCACAATAAGCCTCTCGCCTGCATTCATCATCTATGTTCCATTAGTCAAAGTGAACGACTTGATGAGAAGTCTTTAATGCAAACCTTGATGTAGTTCAAATCTTTCTCCTCCATGGTTTGGAATTGAGGAATACGCGATGAAATGCGAGTGAGGTAATGCTTAACAGCGTCCTCAGGAGTCCATGAAACGTACTGCAATGTTTGTAAGCTCGTTGTTCAAATTACATATGAGATGCTGCAGGGTTCCACTTACATCGGGAGACGAAATCTTGACTCGACGGACATTCTCCTCAATGATCTTCTCGTCATCGCACCATGACTCGATGAAAAGCGTCTGCATATTATTGTCAACATCACGTATAGCACCGAAACAGAAAACAGATCGCAGTTTACCTCAATGTCATGCTTAGCAAATTCTTTGGCAAGCGAGCGCCTTCCTGAAGCGAGAGGGTTCACGGCATCATAAATGGCGATTTGGCCATTTTCGTGGTTCAAAAAGTGGTAGATGTCTTCCCGACACTTTCGTACAATTTTCTGGCGTAGGAGAACCGATGAAGCCGTAGCTAGCGCACAGTTAAAATCGTGATCTGGCTAGATTGAGATGTGCATTTTCCACTCACCATTCACGTAGAAATAATCATCAGGCATATCTTCACCAAAAGGGATAGTAGCACGGCGGTAATCGCCGAGATGGAAGATTCTGGTTTTGACTCCGAGCCATCTTAGATACCGAGCCAGTGCCACAGACATATGTCTTTTTTGTTCCAAGTGTCAGAAAGCAAAATCCAAATTTCGGGGTGGTAAGACTAGTAAACGTACGTCTTTCCTCTTGCGGGCAGCCCTACGGTGATGATCACGATTCGACCGGAATGGAAAAGCCGACCGGACTCAGTGCTGTACAACTGAGCTGGGGCGAGGTCGGCCTTTTCGGGCAAATCGTGAATCGCATCGACGAAGATTGAAGATTTGCGTCGGAATTGCGGCGAGTTGGCCACGATTTCTGCGGTGCTGGTTGACGTCAGTTATATGTCGAACGAGGAGTCTGCTTCCCAGGAGCAGTTTCAATTTCCAAAAAAAGGACATATCATTCAATCAAGAATCTGCATGTACATATCGAGCGGCTTCCAGTCCCACATATAACAATGAGAGAGTGGGCTTACAGTAAGGTATCCATGGTGGCGGGGCTGACGAGGTCTGAACCGGGAAACCAGCTGTGAGGGACAATTTGAGATACGAAATATCGGAGCGCTGCACCGGTACGAGCAGTAGCAGAGTATAAATTACTCGCAACCTTGCAAAAGGTCAGGTCTTTCACGATGGAAGGAAAGTTAGGGGGGGTTGAAAGCAGGGCACGAATAAAGGCGGTCCAGGCAATCACGGTGAGTAGATATCAGGCGGACCCATATAATTCGTCGTGTCCCCCCAAAAACAAGGATAAACTAAACAACCATGTACAATTAAACAACCGCAATCTTTTTCAAATACAAATCTGCTATACATGATCGGTATTTTAAAGTTCTCCAGAGCTAACTTGAATTTTATTCTTCTTCTATTCCAACACTTTTCCATGTTGATCAGTTTCCCCCATAGTTCACCCCCCGAGAAGCTCCGGCTTACCTAAGAATCCGGCGGGCGACAGCGGCCAAAGATGCCGAGGAAGGAACTGGCATTTTTCACGGAAAGACTTCAGCTCCGCTTCCTCCAAACCAATCCCCCGACTCCCCCGAGCGGTTCAATAACAGCTCTTATCTCAATTCTTCGTGATCTGTGACGTTCGCTCGTTCCAGATCTATCGGTCCGATCTTAATTCCTCTCCCTTAACGCCTTGATTGTCATTTTCCCGCAACCTCTCCGTTGAACGGCATCGCGTGTGACGACACCTGTATAATCTCTACCTCCCCCAATCACAAAATGTCCGATCTTTCATCATCTCTCGGTTTCGTGACCGAGAACCCCGCCATGGCCGCGATCAAGGATGCATGCAACTCCTTCTCTGAACGGAGGGCGTTGCTCAACCTGCCTAACCCAGGTACCGTGGATAACATCGCGAGGGAGGTCCAAAAGGAGGTTCTTCTGTCCAACTTCATGTTCACAGGTCTTCGCGCCGACTTGACCAAGGTCTTCGGCATGAGCCCTCTCTTCCGTGTTTCCCACGCGTTCTCCATGGGTTCTTCCGGCAACCTGCCCCCATACGCTTTCTCCGCCATGTACGGAAGCCCCAAGGTAAGCAAATTTCCATCTCAACATGCGTGTCAACGCGGTCATCTTTGAGCCCGAGAGTCTAACTGGTTGTTTTCTCTACGCATTAGATCTTCATGCAAGGTAACCTCGGCAGCGATGGTACCCTCTCCGCCGTCTACAACTACCGCTGGAACCAGGCTCTGGTTACCAAGACCAACGCCCAGGTCATGGCCGGTAGCGCCCAAGGCCTTCTCCAGATCGATAACGACTACACTGGTGCCGATTTCTCTGCCTCCCTGAAGGCCTTCAACCCTTCTGTCTTCGAGGGCGGTCTCACTGGTATCTTCGTTGGTAGCTACCTCCAGTCCATCACACCCGGTCTGGCTCTTGGTTTCGAGGCTATCTGGCAGCGCCAGGGCATGACCGCTCGCCCCGAGACTGCTCTGTCCTACTGCGCTAAGTACAAGGGTGACGACTGGATCGGTACCGCTCAGCTTCAGGCCCAGGGCACCTTTGCCGCTACCTACTGGCGCAAGCTCTCCGAGCGCGTTGAGGCCGGTGTCGATATGAACCTCCAGTTCGCCCCCAGCCCTGCCGCTATGATGATGGGTGGTCCCAGCCGTGACGGTACTACCTCCATCGGTGCCAAGTACGACTTCCGCGCCTCCTCTTTCCGTGCTCAGGTCGACAGCACCGGTAAGGTCAGCTGCCTGCTTGAGAAGCGCATTGCCATGCCCATCTCTCTGAGCTTCGCTGGTGAGATTGACCAGGCCAAGGTACGAATATCCCCAGCAACTTCTCTTATCTATTTACCTGAATGCTAATTTGTATGTCTAGCAAACGGCCAAGGTCGGCCTTGCCGTCTCCCTGGAGATCGCCGGCGAGGAGCTGATGGAGCAGCAGGAGAAGGCTGACCCCGCCAGCATGATCCCCCCTCCTTTCTAAACTCCTTTCCTCACGTCCCCTCGAGACCTTTCTCTTCTCAAGATTGGTGCATCACTTGATCAGCACCTCTCGAGCTAATCACCTTTCGACCACTCTGTTTTATTAGTTATTCGCTCCCCCTCCCCCAATGTCTGGAATGGGCATGGCATGTCACTTTTCCTCGGTATATCCACTTCTTTAACGGGTTGCTGGTGTAGGCGGCAGTTGTTTGGCGCCATGGAGATTCCAAATGTTTGTTGTCCTTTTCTGTATAGATTCACACTCCGTTTTCCTTTTCTGGTGGGCCTTACCTCTCTACCCGGCATTTCAACCCCGCATCCCCCGGCAATCTGTTGGTCCGTATCTCTTGTTTATCTCTTTATGTGATGTGATTCAATGGCCATAAGTGGCCAAAATCGTGAGGGTCAGTTGCAAGGCGGGACGCTTGGTGGATGCGTCGGGTGTTGTGGTTATGCTTTCTTTGCATCATAGACGGACCAATGTAAAACAATCTTTCTTCGACTTACTCTGATCAACGTATGACTATAAACATATCAAGTGTAGCAAGAAAGGAGTACCACGACGCTGCGGCCGGTAACGGTAGCTCTTACGAGGCTGTAAGACTTGTTGATAACCTAAAGAACTACTCGAAGCTATCTTAG